ATCCCGCAGGAGACTTTTGGGACAGATTTGACCCCCGTCCCCCAAGAGTCTTTCGGGAACAACGAGGGTACAGTTGTGGGAGTCCCAAATTTGTCCTGAAAGACTCTTTGACGCGTGCCCCAAAGTCTCTTGAGGGACATTTCTGGGACACATTCAAGATAGATTGGGGACCGCATCACGGTCGAATCATATTTCCCAGCGGTTCAGGTTTCGGCGGTTCGGGATTCTCTGGACATGCGGTTCGACAATGCAATTTGGCATTACTCACACTACAGACTATCTTTGTATGATTCTTAATTTGTACAGCATACGAATTGCATACGACAAATATAATTACGATAATCATCATCATCAGTATATAATTGCCTCTTGATTAAGAAACCATACTGTGTGGCTTTTTAATTATATATACATCAAATCCTGCAATTGACACTTCAAAGATTAGCCACAGAAACACATAAAGTGACAAATAAGGCTATCGTTAGAACACACGACAGTGAATGTACTAACAGTATAGCTGGTCATGGCATTTCAACCGTAAGCGCTTAGCTGCAACTGCAAACACCACCAAAAATGAGAGCATTAACGGTTTCCTCGTTAGTTTAGATAGCAAATTAACATTTTCCGGGCTGCCTCGAATAATTTTGTGACAAGAAAGCACAGGGGATTAAAACTTAAAACGAAAAAGTTGACATACCTTGATTGCCAGTGTTTCAACAATCTGACCGCCACTTCACACTCCCTCACCTCGACGTCGCCTTCGCCGAACCCCTCAGCTATCCGCGCTGCTTCCGTCGCCAGTGGATCCGCGATCGCCCAGAGGCAGCATCATCCGCCCACGGTAGACCATTGCAACCCGAACCAAACGCTGCATGCAGCTCCGCGAAGGTGAACACGCGGAGTGGGGTGATGGTGGAAACGGCGGTGCCTGCGCAACGCGATGGGGGGAACGGAGGAGCGGATAGTGGAAAATTAAATGTTATTAGAGGGGTAGCAGATGCCTATTAACCATCTAAGCAGTAGGAGGTCGACTAATGAGAGGTGAAAGTAAATTCCTTGAAAGCTAAGAAACAATGGCAGATACAAAAGTGGTACACGTATAAACTGAAGGGGCAATGGCGCAGGGTTCTAGTTAAATGGTGGAAGTTGGGTAGCATGGCTGGGTACGGATGTGGTTTGGTTGGGTTCTTTTGAAATTCGATGCGGTAATCTGGTTAAGTTTGAAATCATGAAGTCGCTGGCACAGGTGGTTGACGCGTTTAGTTGTGTGGTGTGGAATGTTAGCGCTAGCTGATATTCCGTGAGGACGTGTGCTGTTTCAGAGCAGGTGGCAGGTGAAAAATGATGTGTGCATGACAGGTGGCGCAAAAGTTATCTGCCTCCCAGGTGACGCTGAGTTGGCGTCATCTGTGAGGCACACAAATTTCGCATCCCACCCTAATGAAATTGGCGAGAATTTCGCCTCCGCTCCCCCCTCGATCGATTGTTTCTGAAAGGGTGGGGGGGGGGGGGGGGAAAGGGGGGTGCTAACGAAATGGCGAGAATTTCGCCTCCCCTCCCCCCTCGATCGATTGTTTGTGTTGGGGGGAGGGAGACGAAATTTGCGATAATTTGCCTCCCCTCCCCCTTCAATCGATTTGATTGTTTGTGAGAGGGCGGAGGGAGGGGGGGGGGGGGGGGGGGGGGGGGGGGGGTTCGTGGGGAGTGGGGGGAATGGCGACCGGAATAGCTTCTGTCAGAATATTATCTTATTGTTCTAGCCTGTAGTGGGGTGCTCTATAGCGAGTACAACCCTTCTAGGGTTTGCTATTTGTATCCTCATTCTTGCTAGTTCAATCCTCTTTCTTCCTTCTAATTTTGACATGCTATCAGAGCAGGTCGATCCCCTTGGATCGATCCTGTGGGTGTGTCCCCACCTTGCTTCCGCTGCAACTTTTTCATCCCGCCGTGCGCCCCGAGGCGCGCGGCGGTTTTCTGCCCGCCGTGCGCCCCGAGGCGCGCGGCGGTTCATTGCCCGCTGTGCGCCCCGGGGTGCGCGGCGGGCTTCTCCCCTACGTCGCGGCCCCGCCCCGATCGTCGCGGCCCCACCCCTCGACGCGGCCCCGCTCTACGTCGCGGCCCCGCCCCGGCCCGTCGCCGCCCGTGCGCCTGCCCGGCTCGGCCCCGCCCTTCGTCGCGGCCCCGCCCCGGCCCGTCGCCGCCCGTGCGCCTGCCCGGCTCGGCCCCGCCCTACCTTTGCGGCCCCGCCCTATGTTGCGGCCCCGCCCTATGTCGCGGCCCCGCCCTACGTCGCGGCCCCGCCCTATGTCGCGGCCCCGCCCCGACCGTCGCGGCCCCGCCCCTCGTCGCGGCACCGGCCCCCCCCCCCCCTTTTCTCCCCTCCCCCCCATTTCCCGTCGCCCGTCGAGGCGACCTGAGGGGGCCGCGGCGAGCTGTGGGGTGGCGGGTATGGGGGTGCTCGGTGTGCCTTCCTCCCTTTGCTCCTCCTCCTCCTCCGTCTCCCACTGCTGCAGCTGTCGCTGAGGGGGGTGGTTGTGTGGGAGACTCGGGTTTAGGGTTTAAGGGGGGTGCGTGGGAGTAGAGCTAGCGGTGTAGCAGTGGGTGTGTATCAGGGGGGTGGGACTGTGTGCGAGAGGTTGAGTGGAGGTTGTCAGTTTGTCGTTCGCATCACCTGTAGTCCGGGGCGCTGTCCCGGTAGCCCAGTCGTAGCCAGCTGTGCCAGCCGCCCGTGGGTCCGTTGCCCGTCCGCCGCTATTTGAGCCGCGGGGTCTGTTACTCCTGTAGTCCGGGCGCTGTCCGGTAGCCGCTGTGCCAGTCTGCCTCCTGTTGCCCGTGTGTCTGCAGCTTCAGCCGTCGCCTCCTGTCTCCTCTCCCCTCACTCTCCCTCCTCCTCCTCACTTGCCCGTTGTGACTAGCACTAGCTTTGCTTATAATTGTGAACTCTAAACTATTTCTTCTTGAACTTGTGCTCAGAATGTGTGGTGACATTGTGATCCACCCTGAGCTTGTTTTGCTTTGCCTGCTCTGCTGATTACACCCCACTTTGGCTATGGGGGTGTGTCAGAATATTATTCTTATGTTCTAGCCTGTAGTGGGGTGCTCTATAGCGAGTACAACCCTTCTAGGGTTTGCTATTTGTATCCCCATTTCTGCTAGTTCACCCCTCTTTCTTCCTTCTAATTTTGTCATCTTATGGTTCAGATGAAAGGAAAAATGAAGGTCTGAAAATCAGACCATCAGACCAAATTGGTCTGATAACGAGAGCCCTGGTCACAGCTTTGTTATTCGTTAATTTGGCATACTCTGTTTGACAACCCATGAAAATAAAGACCCAATAAGGTAAGTTATGGCAAAATGGTGCCATAAGAAGAAATTTGTTCTGTGGAAGAAGTGGTAGTTAAATGCTTTCAATGTCATTTTATAGATGACTATATTTACCTAGGTTAGGTGTAAGGCGGTGTAGAAACGCGTTCGCAAAATACTTCCTGGAAACGGTTCCGTTACCACCGAGGATTCTGTTGACTCATCCGAACAATCCCACTCGAGGCATCCTTACGCACTGAAGTAGCCGTCGATACCGTCTAACACTACGTAGAGCGCCACCCGATATTGTCACAGGCGACAACTAGGGCACCTATCAGGGTCGGCTTCGTCCCAACCAATCATCGCGTGGCGCATCGTCGAAGGGTGAGGAAGGTGGGGCGCGGCGTAAGGGAAGGAGGCTGAGCGGCGGGAGATGGTGCCTGCCTCCCGGGAGGAGAAGAGAGAGAGAGAGAGAGAGTGGGAGCGGAGAGAATTTCGAGAATGCTCAAAAGTGACTCCAATAGGACAGGAGTGAATGGCAGATGGTGAGGCGTGTTAGCGACTTTTGAGGCGCCCCGAAGGTCGACAGGATCGTGTGGCAGTTGGTGAAGGAGCTGGGGTGGGCCGCAAGGCGAGGGGGAGGAGGTGATTGAGAAGCGCTAGCGCTTCTCCCTTCTCTCTTCCGAAGGTAGTCCACTCTCGTCATCCCCGCCCTTCCCATTCTCCCCCTCTCCCTCGCCGTCCCCCCTCCTGCCGTTAACGCCCTTCCCATCTCTCCGAACCTCCCACCCCCCAATCCCTCCTCCGTCGCATCTCACCACCCTCACCTTCCCACAGGCGGCACACACACGGCAGGCGGCAGGCGGCAGGCAGCAGGCGGCAGGCGGCAGGCAACAGGGAACGGGCAACCAGCGGCAGGTGGCAGGGGGGCATGGGGGGCGACAGCGACCGCACTGGCAAGGCGAGTGACAAACAGCGCCTTTGAGTGTCATGGGACTGGCAAGGCGAGTAGCACTGTCAACCACACCATTCCCTCAGGAGGCGGATTATTAACATAACCATTGTCGTCGTCATCATCATTGCTGTTGAATCTCCCCTTCCTTATGCTCCTCACTCTGCCTCTCTCTCTGCATAGCGGACTTAACACCCTCTGACTGACTTCTTTATTTCCTTCGAACTGCATGCATGACAAACTGGGCATGTTTATGGCAAGCTGATGGCTTGTGGATGGCATGTGGATGGCATGTGGATGGCATGTGGATGGCACGTGGGTGGCATGTGGGTGGCATGTGGATGGCACGTGGGTGGCATGTGGGTGGCATGTGCATGTGCATGTGCATGGCAGCAGGTGCAGGAGCGGTTAGCGCGAAGGGTGAAGGATGGGGAGTTTTACGAGGCACAGCAGCTCTACAAGAGCCTCGCTACAAGGTGATTCGTCTGCGCGCTTCAGTAACGATTTACTGCAAGTTGCTAACCTGCTTCGAGGCGATTCACTTCAAGTTGTTTTTCTTCGAAATGGTTTCGCTTCGTATCGGAATAATTCCCTTGTGAATTCATGCAGCTGCAGAAGTTTTTGGTGTGCCTCTCTAATGCGCTCCCTTCCATTTGCACTTGCACATTGCATCTCTCCCTCTTGGCAGGTACTCCTCCCAGGTCAAGTACAAGGACGCATGGCGCTGCTTCTGCCGCATCTTATGATGATCATGCCCCTCACCTGTCTCTTCCCCTCTCTCCCTTCGACATTGCACTTCAAGTACGAAGATGCAGCGGCACTGCTGCCATCAGGCCCGTGCAAGCATCTGCAGCAGTGGGTGGTGGTGATTGTCGCACCCGTCAACCCGGTGCTTGCTCAGATATTTGTGCTCCTTCCACCCCCCGACCGAAGGTACTCCTCACACTTCAAGTACGAGCACGCCATGGCGTTGCTGCAGGCAGGCGCGTGTGTGTGTTCAATTGCAGCAGTGGGTGATGATGGCCCTGCTCGCCCCTCAACTCCGCATGCTCTCCTCTGCATGTTGCATCTCCCTCTCCTCTGCATGTTGCATCTCCCTCTCCTCTGCATGTTGCATCTCCCTCTCCTCTGCATGTTGCATCTCCCTCTCCTCTGCATGTTGCATCTCCCTCTCCTCTGCATGTTGCATCTCCCTCTCCTCTGCATGTTGCATCTCCCTCTCCTCTGCATGTTGCATCTCCCTCTCCTCTGCATGTTGCATCTCCCTCTCCTCTGCATGTTGCATCTCCCTCTCATCTGCATGCTGCATCTCCCTCTCATCTGCATGTTGCATCTCCCTCTCCTCTGCATGTTGCATCTCCCTCTCCTTGCGCATCTCCCCCCCCGCAGGTACTCCTCACAATTTAAGTGCGATGACGACGCCATGGCACTGCTGCAGGCAGGCGCATGCATGCAGCTGCAGCAATGGGTGGTGATGATTCTGCCCCTCAACCCTGCCTGCTCGCATAATCTCATCTGCGTGCTGCATCTCCCTCTGCCTGTCCCCCTCTGCATCCCCCTCTGTCTGTCCCCCTCTGCATCCCCCTCTGTCTGTCCCCCTCTGCATCCCCCTCTGTCTGTCCCCCTCTGCATCCCCCTCTGTCTGTCCCCCTCTGCATCCCCCTCTGCCTGTCCCCCTCTGCATCCCCCTCTGTCTGTCCCCCTCTGCATCCCCCTCTGCCTGTCCCCCTCTGCATCTCCCTCTGTCTGTCCCCCTCTGCATCCCCCTCTGCCTGTCCCCCTCTGCATCCCCCTCTGTCTGTCCCCCTTTGCATCTCCCTCTGCCTGTCCCCCTCTGCATCCCCCTCTGTCTGTCCCCCTCTGCATCCCCCTCTGTCTGTCCCCCTCTGCATCCCCCTCTGTCTGTCCCCCTCTGCATCCCCCTCTGTCTGTCCCCCTCTGCATCTCCCTCTGTCTGTCCCCCTCTGCATCCCCCTCTGCCTGTCCCCCTCTGCATCCCCCTCTGTCTGTCCCCCTCTGCATCCCCCTCTGTCTGTCCCCCTCTGCATCCCCCTCTGCCTGTCCCTCCCCAGGTACTCCTCGCAGTTCAAGTACGAGGACGCCATGGCGCTGCTGCAGTCAGGGGCGTGTGTGCAGTTGGAGCACGGGCAGGTGACCAGTGGGGGGGAGCTCGCTCTGCTGCTCACCGACTTACTCTCCTCCACCGAGACGCCCTGCTGGGAGGACTCCCTGGGTGAGCTCTCAGTGTGAGGCAGCTGAGCCCCTTATGTGCATCAGTCCCCGCTCATCTACCCCCACTGCGACCTCCCATCTCATCCGTTTCTCGTCCCGTCTGCCTCGCATCAACCGCCCTTCCCCCCTCCATAGCGCATCACAGCCGTCCCCACCATCTGCTCCGACCCCCTCGTCCCCCAACATCTTCCCGCCTACCCGCCCTTGTCCCCTCCCCCTCCTACCCCTCCCCAGAGCGCATCACCGCAGTGTACACCAGCTTCCCGCGCTCAACCGACCCATCAGGTCTGCTCCCGGGTGAATCCGAGGAGGCGGCCAGGCTCAGAGTGGACGGGTGCAAGCGCTTCCTCAGAGCTGCGCTCAAGTACGTGCCCCTGGCTAGGACTCACACGTGGAAGTCTCACCTCGCCCCATCTGCTGCTCCTTGGTGAAACGGACGAGGTGGCCACGCTCAGAGTGGGCACGTGCAAGCACTTCCTCACGGCTGCACTCCACTCCACTCCAGCGACGTGCTTTGCAGACAGATGCCAAGAGGGAGTCCCTAGAGGACTTTGCTCAAATCTCAAATTGGTTCATAGGCGCTGTTGGGTGGTTGCTTACAGAAGCGTAAGGTTGGGTCCTTGTGGGTCACCTGGTGGTCAACCCAGTTCCCTGAAATCCTCCCAGCCCCATCCAGCCCCCAGGCAAATTCAAAACACTCATCACCCTCCTCGCCCACGCCCCCCTCCTCACCCTCTCCCCCCAACCCTGTCTCCCTGTACCCCCTCCGCCTCACCAGGTGGTCCGCCCAGTTCCCGGAAATGCTCTCTGCCCCATCCGGCCCCCAGGCGAACTCAGCACCCTCCTTGCCCTCCGCCCCATCCTCCTTCCCCCCTCCCTGTCCGCCTTCTCCCCCTCACCAGGTGGTCAGCCCAGTTCCCCGAGATGCTATCAGCCCCATCCAGCCCCCAGGCGCAAGCAAAGCCCTCATCGCCCACAGCGTCCTCCCCCGCCGCCCTGGCCTCCCTGGGCTCGCCGGCCATTCACCTCATGCTCGCCCACTGCCTCTCGTCCCAGCTGCCTCCTCATAAACGGGTTGGTGCTTTCCTTTTCTCCTCTCCCCCTCGTCCCCCTCCTTCCCCCTCTTTCATTCCCCCTCCTCTTCCCTTCCCCCTCTTCCTTGCCTCCCTTGCCCTCTCCCCCCTCCCAATCTTCCTCCGCCCTGGCCTCCCTGGCCTCCCCACCCATTCACCCCATGCTCTCTCACTGCCTCCCCTCCCAGCTGCCTCCGCACAAAAGGGTTGGTCCTTCTTCCTTCCCCCCTTTTTCTCTCCCCTCCACACACCTCATGCGTGTACACCTCGTTTTGTCCTCGCGAATTATGCTTCTCCATCCCATGTCTATCACTTCCATCCCATGTCTATCGCCTCCATCCCATGTCTATCACTTCCATCCCATGTCTATCGCCTCCATCCCATGTCTATCGCCTCCATCCCATGTCTATCGCCTCCATCCCATGTCTATCGCCTCCATCCCATGTCTATCGCCTCCATCCCATGTCTATCGCCTCCATCCCATGTCTATCACCTCCATCCCATGTCTATCACTTCCATCCCATGTCTATCGCCTCCATCCCATGTCTATCACCTCCATCCCATGTCTATCGCCTCCATCCCATGTCTATCGCCTCCATCCCATGTCTATCACTTCCATCCCATGTCTATCGCCTCCATCCCATGTCTATCGCCTCCATCCCATGTCTATCGCCTCCATCCCATGTCTATCGCCTCCATCCCATGTCTATCACCTCCATCCCATGTCTATCACTTCCATCCCATGTCTATCACTTCCATCCCATGTCTATCGCCTCCATCCCATGTCTATCGCCTCCATCCCATGTCTATCGCCTCCATCCCATGTCTATCGCCTCCATCCCATGTCTATCGCCTCCATCCCATGTCTATCACCTCCATCCCATGTCTATCACTTCCATCCCATGTCTATCGCCTCCATCCCATGTCTATCGCCTCCATCCCATGTCTATCGCCTCCATCATGTATCCTGAGAAACTACAGCAGGGTTCTTCCACTTTGTGTGCTCAGACAACCCAAGACTCTTCTGAGTCGACTCAATTGTCCTCCCCGGGCCCCGCCCCCCACGCAGGACTATGCAGCGGCATTCTTCCACTTTGTGTACTCGGACGACCCCGCCCTCTTTGCTCACAGCCTGGCGGAATACGCACAGCAGGTAGCAACAGGGATGTGTGCCTGAAGGTGCTTTGCACACAGTATTCTATGCGATAGCAACAGGGGGCGTGTGTGTGTGTGTGTGTTGCACACAGCTTGCAATGCAATCATGAAATCTCACCTTTGATTTTGTGCGTAGCAACGGCTCCACGCTGGGTTCTCCATGTTTCATCCATCTTCGGCGGTCATTGCCACCCTTCCTTCCCACAATTCAAATCTCTTTCTTCTCCTGCCGTCCCTTTCCTCTGATTCCTTCCTTCCGTTGCACTGTGATTTGCACCGCTACCTTTGCAAAATGCATTTGGCCTTCTTAGACCCATCCAAATATCCCTTCCTTGTCCCTCTGCTTGCTTTTTTCCATTGCGCTGCGTGAGCACTGCAGTGCTACCTCGGCGAGAGGGACCTCGTCATTGCCAGGGCTGTGCTCCAGTAAGTGCTGCCCCTTGCAATCGTATCCTTTCGAGTCAATGAAAAAGATTTGTGATTTCCATTGCACCACCGCTTTCTCAGTCTCTCACCTGGAATGGGCTGCCGACATGCACTGACATGACATGCTACGCCTTCTGGTCAAGGGGGAATCTAGACTTTCATGCCGGCACCCCAAAATGGATGCTGTACAGTACAGGCTCTCATGCTTGGGGTCTGCCATGTCAGAGTGCGTTTTATGGTCTACCATGCCCCAGATAGAGATTGAAGTTGACCAAAAAACACACTCTTGTGATTCTTCTTACACCTCCCCTTTCTTCCCGCGCCTCTCCTCTCCATGTTACTCGCGCTTTGAAGCCCTCACAGCAATTGCTCTGATTAGCAGCCCACCGTCCGTCTCATTTCCCCATAACGTGGCTCAGCTTGTCGCCTTCCTCGCCTCCCCCATATCCCCACTCTCCCAGGTGTTCGGCAGCAGGGACTGCAGCAACAAATCTTTGGACCATTCCTCGCCCATGCCCCCCCTCGCCCATGCCCCCCCTCGCCCATGCCCCCCCTCGCCCATGCCCCCCCTCGCCCATGCCCCCCCTCGCCCATGCCCCCCCTCGCCCATGCCCCCCCTCGCCCATGCCTCCCCTCGCCCATGCCTCCCCTCGCCCATGCCTCCCCTCGCCCATGCCTCCCCTCGCCCATGCCTCCCCTCGCCCATGCCTCCCCTCGCCCATGCCTCCCCTTGCCCATGCCTCCCCTCGCCCATGCCTCCCCTCGCCCATGCCTCCCCTCGCCCATGCCTCCCCTCGCCCATGCCTCCCCTCGCCCATGCCTCCCCTTGCCCATGCCTCCCCTCGCCCATGCCTCCCCTCGCCCATGCCTCCCCTCGCCCATGCCTCCCTTCGCTAAGGCCTCCTCTTGCCGATGCACCCTTCCTGCCATGCCCCTCCTCTCTTAGGTGTCTGGCGGCAGGGCGACTGCAGCAGGGCAAGCAGCTCTGGCACGACCTCAAAACGAAGCAGGCAGGCATCTGGGGAGCGGATGACCATGCTGCTGGTGATGATGGTGCTGATGCTGATGGTGCTGCTGACGCTGCTGCTGCTGTGGAGAGTGGTGCTACTGAAGACAGAGCTGGTGCTGCAGCTAGCAAGTGGCAGGAGTCTCCCCTCTTACGTTTCACTGACCTTCTCCTCACTGCGTAAGAAATCTCCACCAACCACCCGCTCCCACCCCTCTCCACCCGCTCCCACCTCAGTCCACCTGCACTCACCACCGCACTCCACCTGCACTCACCAGCAGGTGAAAATCAGTGAACGGTTAGCTTCAAATTTATTCTGTCCTATTATCATCCATGGCCTGCGGCTGCGGGGGGCGCCTCCCCCAAATGCTTCTCTTCTTCCTCTCATAATCCTCCTGTCTTCCGCCCCTCATCCCCTCACCACCATACAGAGCTGATCGCAGGGCGCCATCACTTTTGTCTCATCTGCGCCGCCGCTATGAGCCGTCCCTCCAACGCGACCCTGCCTTCCCTCCTGTATGTTCCTTCGAGGGTCCCTGCTCCTCACTCCCTCACGCCTCACCTCCTCATTTAATGGGTCCTTGCTCTGTTGATAGATATTTAAGATCTAGAGGCTCTTAACACACTTTTAATCCACACTAGGTAGTCCCCACGAGGTCACCTCCAAAGGTCTTTGGGTGCCTGGTAGAACCAGCCCCTATCCAAGGGTCCGTGTTTGAAGAGGGATTTCCGTAAGTGCAAAACTTATCGTGCGTTTTAGAGCGTTCAAAAACTTCGTTGCGCAGCGTTGACAACGAAATGTGCTCATGTGCAGAATAGCTCTTCACGTCAATACGTTGATAGAGCAAGTTAACTCGTCAAAGAGATTCAGAAAATATTTCCACTACAAAGGATGATTACACTCAAGCATAAGCACACATCTTATATTTCGCCTAACACACATCTTAAAGCTTAAATGATCACACCTACCCTCCTCACTTGATGGCACCTACCCTCATCACTTTATCACGCCTACCCTCCTCACTTTATCACACCTACCTTCCTCACTTTATCACGCCTACCCTCCTCACTTGATCACACTTACCCTCCTCACTTTATCACGCCTACCCTCCTCACTTGATCACACCTACCCTCCCCTAGCTCTTACTCCCTGAAGCTTCCTTCCCTCTCTTCCCCTCTTCGTCTTGTTTCTCGCTTCGCTGGATGGATTCCCTTTTCTCTGCTGGAGCGTGGAGCCATCCTTGCACCCTACCCTTGCCTTTGGAAAGCATGCATTGAATCTCGTTTTCTTTTTTCTCTCCGCTCCTCGTACGACCTACCGTATACCGACCCCACCCCACCCTTTCATTCCTGCCCAAAATTGTGCAATTCAATTTTAACCTCCCTTTGCCTCGCCCGCACAGCTGCTAGATGACATTGCCTTCCGCCTCTTCGGAGTGCCGCGGCCTGCTGCAGCACCCAACTTCCTAACCGACATGCTTAAGGTGAGACATGTCGAAAGTGAGACGTGTTGAAGGTGAGGCATCCTAAGATAAGATACTCTTAATGATTCGCACAGCATCATGCGACTTCATTTTGAGGGGGCCAAGGGAGAGGGGCAGGTATAGTGGGGGGAGCATTCATGGTGATAGGTGCAGGCATGGTGAGAAAGGATGGGAATTGCATGTTGCAGTGGCCATGATTATTAGTCGTAGGTGGGGGAAACGTTCCCACGGTGAATGGACAGGCATCACACCCCCATGCTTCACATCGCCCTGTGTCACACCCCCACGCTTCACAACGCCATGTGTCACACCCCCATGCTTCAAATCGCCATGTGTCACACCCCCATGCTTCGCATCGCCATGTGTCACACCCCCACGCTTCACAACGCTATGTGTCACACCCCCATGCTTCACATCGCCATGTGTCACACCCCCCACGCTTCACGCCTTTCACGCAGTGTGTCTTTTGCATGCCTCCGTCTCTATTCTGCATCCCCTGCATTCATCTCTGCTCTCTACTCCCTGCCCCCTGCTGCTGCATGTGCAGCTTGTGATGGGAGAGGAGACACCAGCATAGCTGTTGGTAAACTCAATCGTCTTGTAGAATATATGACTTGGTTTTTGTGTATCATGATGGCTTATGTCTTACTGTGCAACCATCTTCGCAGTGCTTCATCCAATGTCAAACGTTCCAAGAAATGTGGCAGGTGACTAAGGTGTGCTGTTTCGAAGAGATTTACGACGTACATATGATGGAAACTTATGGCATATGACATTTTTATGAAACGTGGAAAGTTTTTGGGCAAACACAAAATGCCCATAACGTTGGAAAGTTTACTCAGTGAATCCTTTCCAAGATTTTTGCTAACATTCTGCTATGCATGGGACGGAATCAAACCTATAGGTGGGCTGGTCACACCTTCAACCCACACCCCTCGACTGCAAGCGATGCCGGCTCTCTAAATCCATCATCTCACCACGTGCAAGCAACCCAGCCAGTCCATACCATCAGTCAGTCTGCATGCGCGTCAGCACTGTGCGTCAATGCTCTGCCTTGCTCTTCTTTTTCTTCTTCGGCTTCTTCACGGCATCAGCCAGTGTGAGAGACTCCTCCTTCACCCTGCTCCCTGCACCTCCCGCTGCCGCTGCCGCTGGCAAATCCCCTTCACCTTTCCCAGCAGCTGGCACGGCCCGGGCGGCAGAGGCCTTGGAGGCAGGGGCAGGAGGGGCGGCAGTGGATGGCAGCAGGTCGGCGATGGCGTCTAGTTCCGATCCCAGGCGGGCTGAGGTGGTGCGGGAGAGGAGAGGGGGGATGAAAGTGGTTAGGTGGGAAGGGGAGACAGAGGAGTGTGCTTGGGAGTCGACTCATGAGTCACTGTGGACAGGGTTGGCGATGGCGTCTCGCTCTGATCCCAACCGGGCTGGGATGGTGCAGGACGAGAGGTGTATGAGAGGAGCATGAGAGGAGCATGAGAGGAGGATGAGAGGAGTATGAGAGGAGGATGAGAGGAGTATGAGAGGAGGATGAGAGGAGTATGAGAGGAGGATGAGAGGAGGATGAGAGGAGCATGAGAGGAGGCGTCACCTGCTGTTGCTCCCTTGTTGCTCTTCTTGTCGTCACGCTCCTCTTGCAACCTGTGAACCATGAGCCAACACACAGCGAGGCGAGAAGCAGACAGTCAGGCAAGCAGCACAAATGCGCACAGCCAGGGGTGCCGAGCCTTTGAGCATGCCTTGAAGGACAATACCATGCCCATGAGAATGGTACCATCAATGGTACCCCATGGAGCACTTAACGCCCACAGGCAGGCAGCAGTGAAGGCATCACCTGTAAGCTGTAGAGAGGAAAAGCGCAAGAATAGCAGAAGTGAGAGCTCACCACGATGACACCCCTCCTTCGAAGAGTGCATCCACACCCCCTCCTGCTGCTCCCCCTCTCCCCCCATCCCCCTCACCCTCTTCCTCTTCGTCCTCACCATCCTCCCCATCACTTGATTCCTCCTCCCCTTCCTCCCCCTCCTCCCCTTCCTCCCCCTCCTCCCCTTCCTCCCCCTCCTCCCCTTCCTCCCCCTCCTCCCCTTCATCGTCCTCCATGTGCTCTTCCTTCACCCTCCCACCATCACCATCACCACCTGCCTGCCCTGCCCGCACGCCCCCTCCTTTCCTCTGCACGGCAGCAATCTCCGCCGCACCAATCACACCCCCCTTCAGCCCCCCTGCCCCCTCTACGCCCCCTGCCACTGTGTCCAGTCCCACTGCTGCTGCTGCACCGGCAGCAGGGGAGGCATGTCGCTTCACTTTCCTCCGCTGCCGCTCTGCTGCCAGTGCTGCCACCTGAAGGTCCGAGGGGATGGGGCAGGGGAAGGGGTGAACACGTGCACGTGCATGGCGAGGAGGACAATTGCACGCCGCAAGGATGTATTGCCTCCATCCCCATGCCCCGCCACCATTGCCTCGTTCCATTATGCACACTTTTGCATGCATTGATCACCATACCTTGTTGCAACGTGCAAGCCACTTTCCAGTCAATCAACCCCAATCCGACCTACATCCCTTCACTGCAGTCGTCACCAACTCGCCCACACCATCACACCTTATCCGTAAGCATTCTGACCATGCGTTGAGGCACGGAGGCAGCCATGCGGCAGCAGCACTTGAGCTGGGGGAGTGACACCCCCACACCCCCACAGCTCAGCAGCGAGACAACACCTTGTCCATGCGCAGCACCACCCCACCCCAACCCACCCAAGCTCACCTTATCAGTGAGCGTTTTGATCATGTGTTGGGCCACAGAGGCAGCGACACGGCAGCAGCGCATGAGCTGGGGGAGTGACACCCCGACACCCCCGCCCTTCTGCACGCTGCACACGTCCCCCACCGCATTCACCAGCACAGTGCACCTCCCCGCCTGGGCTGCCTCCTCCTTGTAGCTGGGATCCATGACCTGGGGTGGGAGGCAGGGGTGCACCGGGGCTAGGTTGGAGGCAGCACAGGCGTTGTGAGACGGTTGGAGGCAGGAGGTTGGAGGCACAGGAGTTAGGTTGGTGGGGGTAACATGCCCACTCCTCCTCACATCAGCATGCTGCACACATCCCCCACCGCATTCACCAGCACTATGCAGCGCCCCGATTGAAGCTGAGGTCCATGAGGTGGCATGGGATGGTGGGAGTTGGAGGTGGGTGGGTGGAGGCACAGGGGTTGGGTTGGGTTGGGTTGTGTGGCCACGCCCCTGCCACAGCGCGCATTGCACACACCCCCCACCGCATTCACCACCACTGTGCAGCGCCCCGCCTGGGCTGCCTCCTCCTTGTAGCTGGGATCCATGACCTGACATGGGATGGTGGGAGGCGGGTGGTTGGACGCACAGGGTTAGGTTGGTGTTTCATGCGCTGGGGGATTAGCACCCCAACGCCCCCGCCCTTCTGCATGCTGCACACATCCCCCACTGCGTTCACCAGCACTGTGCACCTTCCTTGTTGCGCTGCCTCCTCCTTAAACTGGAATCCATGACCTGGGGTTCAACAGCGCTGTGCGCCGCCCTGCCTGCACCACTTCCTCCTTGGAACTCGGATCCATCACCTGGGGTGGCATGGGTTGACCGTCGATGCACAGGGGTCATATGCACGAACCTGAAATAGCTCTTATGCATGAACCCAAACTAGACCGCATACATGCGACAGAGAGAGCTCCTCACTCAGTTCAGCATGATAAGAGACGTCACAGCTCGTTGCACACACAGTGCCCACTTGGAGCCCACACAATCATCAGGACGCAGCACAACCATGCCTCTCACACATGCATGCATGAAAGTGTGCATTTACCACCAGCTGTAACTGCATGCATGGCCTCAAGAGGAAGGCTGCGCACATGTTGCGTTACACTGGAGCTTTGTGTTGTGGGACAGCCACAAGCTGTGGCCTTGCTCTGAGTGCACTGAGCTGAAGCGAATAGACAGCTCTCCCTCCGTCGCATCGCGAGTAAGAACAGGCAGGGGAGGGAGTTCAACGTGCGTGCTTGTGAACCCGATAGAGAGCACATGCTCGCCCCCCCTCCTGCCCACCACATGCGTCGTGCTGACTTGGATGCCCCGCCCCGGATAGCGCGTGTAATGAGTCTGCTTTTGAGTCGACTCAACAGCACCACATGCGTCCTGCTGAGCTGACTTGGATGCCCCGCCCCGGATAGCAAGGAGGCAGGCACACGTGGGCGGCTGAGAAATGATGCACTGAGTCCTGCTCTCATGCTCGCACTCGGACACGCTGGAGTGATCCGTCACTTATGGCACACCCATCACGCACCACTCATGGCACACCCATCACGCACCACTCATGGCACACCCATCACGCACCACTCATGGCACACCCATCACGCACCACGTCATTGCCATCGTTGAAGTATGCAAAGGTGACAGCAAGGGGCAGGTTGTGCACTGTGAGGGGTATGGGGTCGCGCTCCTGGGGGGGGAGGGGGGTGGTTGTGAGGGGGGGAGCAGAGGAGAGCAGAGAGGCAGAGGGTGGGTAGATGAAGGTGAAGGTGACAGCGAGAGGCAAGTTGTGCACTGTGAGCAGTATGGGGTCATGCTCCTAGGAGCAGGGGGTGGGGGGGCGATGGGGTGAGCACAAGAGATGGAAGCAGAGAGGCGCAGAATGGGTAGAAAAAGATGAAGCACCCGCGAGAGCCAGGTCGTGCAGTGCACTATGAGGGGTAAGGATTCTCGCTGCTGGGAGGGGAGAAGGGACGGACGAGGAAGAGTGGGCAGAGAGCACGTTCTTGCAGTGCAGTGCAGTGCAGTGCAGTGCAGTGCAGTGCAGTGCAGTGCAGTGCAGTGTGGGCAGTATGCGTCACGAAGGAAGGGGGCGGGGAGTGCCGAGGATGGTTTGTGCACGAGGGGAGTGAGCACTGAGGAGGCTGTGGGTGCACTGAGGAGGCTGTGGGTGCACTGAGGAGGCTGTGGGTGCACTGAGGAGGCTGTGGGTGCACTGAGGAGGCTGTGGGTGCACTGAGGAGGCTGTGGGTGCACTGAGGAGGCTGTGGGTGCACTGAGGAGGCTGTGGGTGCACTGAGGAGGCTGTGGGTGCACTGAGGAGGCTGTGGGTGCACTGAGGAGGCTGTGGGTGCACTGAGGAGGCTGTGGGTGCACTGAGGATGCTGTGGGTGCACTGAGGAGGCTGTGGGTGCACTGAGGAGGCTGTGGGTGCACTGAGGAGGCTGTGGGTGCACTGAGGAGGCTGTGGGTGCACTGAGGAGGCTGTGGGTGCACTGAGGAGGCTGTGGGTGCACTGAGGAGGCTGTGGGTGCACTGAGGAGGCTGTGGGTGCACTGAGGAGGCTGTGGGTGCACTGAGGAGGCTGTGGGTGCACTGAGGAGGCTGTGGGTGCACTGAGGAGGCTGTGGGTGCACTGAGGAGGCTGTGGGTGCACTGAGGAGGCTGTGGGTGCACTGAGGAGGCTGTGGGTGCACTGAGGAGGCTGTGGGTGCACTGAGGAGGCTGTGGGTGCACTGAGGAGGCTGTGGGTGCACTGAGGAGGCTGTGGGTGCACTGAGGAGGCTGTGGGTGCACTGAGGAGGCTGTGGGTGCACTGAGGAGGCTGTGGGTGCACTGAGGAGGCTGTGGGTGCACTGAGGAGGCTGTGGGTGCACTGAGGAGGCTGTGGGTGCACTGAGGAGGCTGTGGGTGCACTGAGGAGGCTGTGGGTGCACTGAGGAGGCTGTGGGTGCACTGAGGAGGCTGTGGGTGCACTGAGGAGGCTGTGGGTGCACTGAGGAGGCTGTGGGTGCACTGAGGAGGCTGTGGGTGCACTGCACAGCACAGTGCGGATAACTTACTAAGTGAGGAGCGAGGATGTCAAGAGGGAGCGAAGCAGGGAGGAGGACGAGAGGAGAGAGTGTCGCAGGGTGAGCTTGGAGTGCGGGGGGCAGATGTTGGTGCATAAGCAGCGTGCTGCTGTCTGCCTACTATGGGTTGGCGTGCACTGTGGGTGTAAGTGGTGTGGATTCGTGAACGAGTGAACGAAAAATGGTGACTCCACACAGCACCACTCCCTTGCACTGAATGCTTGTGTTAAGATGATCAGCGGAGAGCATCAGATAGAGAGTATTGAATGGCTGTGTCAAGCTGACTGACCCGCTCACCTCCACTGAGTGCACCACCACTTGCATGCCATCGTCCCCCCCCACTGTCACTTCTGGCCGGCGGAACGCCAGCAGCGCTGCCACTGCTGCTAGACAGCACGCATCCACCAGGTTGCTGGAGGACGCAGGGGAGAAGGAGGAGAGGGGTCCAGTCCGGTTACAGAGGAAGGAAGCGTTTGATGCTTCCCAAGCAGCACGCGCCCCACCAGATTGCGACGGATACAGAGGCAGCAGGCATGAAGGGGGGAGGGTGGTGAAGGCAGTTGGGGCGAGAGGGAGTAAGATAATTAGAGCACAAAAGCCGCCAGCAGTGACCACGTGCAGCACGAATGCGAGGGAGCAGAGGCAGTGAGTGTGTGGCGAGAAAGGCAAGGTGGTGCAGGGTGTGTGAAAGGACTTAACCCAGCACCACTACTGCGTGTACAGGTGACTCACCCATCATTCATTGTCCATGACTCACCCATCATTGTCCATGACTCGGATATCCAGTCTGAGCGCCCATGCTGCCCTCCCCGCCACCACACACAGCGACTCCGTGTCCACTGCATGGCTCTCCCTGTGTGGGGATGGACAATCGGGATGGGGATGGGGATGGGGATGGGGATGGGGATGGGGATGGGGATCGGGATGGGGATGGGGATGGGGATGGATGAGCCGCACAGACAGACGGTCAAGGATGCAGCACATAATGGCACCACACACAGCCACTCCGTGTCCACTGCATGGCTCTCCCAGCGGGGCAGAGGAGTGGTGGAAATAGGAATTCACATTTGCCTGAACTTTTATTGGCGTGGCGTGGGCACCACCAGCGAGCCCTCCCCTCGGTAACAAGCAGCAAGCCCGCTGGGAACGTGTGGGCTGTGGCACGTGTGTGTGACGGAGGCTCTTTTGGGAACGTGTGGGCTGTGGCACGTGTGTGTGACGGAGGCTCTTTTGGGAGCGTGTGGGCTGTGGCACGTGTGTGTGACGGAGGCTCTTTTGGGAGCATGTGGGCTGTGGCACGTGTGTGTGACGGAGACTCTTTTGGGAGCGTGTGGGCTGTGGCAGGTGTGTGTGACGGAGGCTCGTTTGGGAGCGTGTGCCCCTATACGGGAGCGTGTGCCCCTATACGGGAGCGTGTGCCCCTATACGGGAGCGTGTGCCCCTATACGGGAGCGTGTGCCCCTATACGGGAACGTGTGCCCCTATACGGGAACGTGTGCCCCTATACGGGAACGTGTGCCCCTATACGGGAATTCATCCTCACCTCAGCCCGCGCTCACTAATTCGTCCCAGCTCTATCGCCTCTTCCCCCGGGCGCCTGGGCACGAAGCGCGGGTCAGCCATGGGGCGAGCTCCGTGAAGCCCCCTGGGACCCTGAAGGCGGTCGCCCTATTTGTGACGGATGCGCGGTGCGCCCCTTTCTGAGACTCTGTCCACCCTTACCTCAGTCCACCCTTACCTCAGTCCACCCTTACCTCAGTCCACCCTTACCTCAGTCCACCCTTACCTCAGTCCACCCTTACCTCAGTCCACCCTTACCTCAGTCCACCCTTACCTCAGTCCACCCTTACCTCAGTCCACCCTTACCTCAGTCCACGGTCAATGAGGCGCCCCAGCTCACTCGCATCCTCCCCCGGGCGCGGGCGGCCTGGCACGAAGCAGGGATCAGCCAGGGCCGAGGTGAGTGCTCAGTGGCAGGACGCTAGCACTATAATAACCCGCCTCCCCTGTCTGTGACTGAGAGTCTATCCCCACCTGAGCCCGCGGTCAATGATGCGCCCCAATTCAATCGCATCCTCCCCCGGGCGCCCAGGCACAAAACGCGGGTCAGCCATGGGGGCGAGCTCTGTGAAGACGGCCAGGGAGCCTTCGTTGGGGCGGTCGGGGAAGGGCAGCGTGAGCGCTGCTGAGACTGACGCCAGGACGCGCGTGCTGCCCAGCTGCACCTCTGCTGTGCCGTCATCCCTGGTAAATGGGGCATGGGGGATGATGAGAGGAGCAGGATAGAGAGACGAGGGGAAGGCAGCGTGAAAGTGGCTGACTGACACGGAGGCGAGGACGCGTGTACTGCCCAGCTGTTCCTCTGCTGTGCCGTCGTCCCTGGGCATGGGAGCTAGGGAATAAGGGATGGGGGATGGGGATGGAGCAGGATAGAGCAGAGCAGGACGAGACGAAGGAAGGGCAGGGAAAGGGCTGATGAGACGTGCAAGAATGCAGGTGGTGTCTACCTGTACCTCTGCTGTGCCATCAACCCTGATGCGACCTGCATCAGAAAATTGGATAGAGGGTTTGGGGGAAGAGGGTTTGGGGGAAGAGGGTTTGGGGGAAGAGGTTTTGGGGGAAGAGGTTTTGGGGGAAGAAGGTTTGGGGGAAGAGGGTTTGGGGGTAGGGGGTTTGGGGATAGAGGGTTTGGGGGAAGAGGGTTTGGGGAAGAGGGTTTGGGGGAAGAGGGTTTGGGGGAAGAGGTTTTGGGGGAAGAGGTTTTGGGGGAAGAAGGTTTGGGGGAAGAGGGTTTGGGGGTAGGGGGTTTGGGGATAGAGGGTTTGGGGGAAGAGGGTTTGGGGGAAGAGGATTTGGGGGAAGAGGGTTTGGGGGAAGAGGGTTTGGGGGAAGGGGGTTTGGGGGAAGAGGGTTTGGGGGAAGAGGGTTTGGGGGAAGGGGGTTTGGGGGAAGAGGGTTTGGGGGAAGAGGGTTTGGGGGAAGAGGGTTTGGGGGAAGAGGGTTTGGGGGAAGAGGTTTTGGGGGAAGAAGGTTTGGGGGAAGAGGGTTTGGGGGTAGGGGGTTTGGGGATAGAGGGTTTGGGGGAAGAGGGTTTGGGGGAAGAGGATTTGGGGGAAGAGGGTTTGGGGGAAGAGGGTTTGGGGGAAGGGGGTTTGGGGGAAGAGGGTTTGGGGGAAGAGGGTTTGGGGGAAGGGGGTTTGGGGGAAGAGGGTTTGGGGGAAGAGGGTTTGGGGAAGAGGTTTTGGGGGAAGAAGGTTCGGGGGAAGTGGGTTTGGGGGAAGAGGGTTTGGGGGAAGAGGGTTTGGGGAAGAGGTTTTGGGGGAAGAGGGTTTGGGGGAAGAGGGTTTGGGGGAAGAGGGTTTGGGGAAGAGGTTTTGGGGGAAGAAGGTTTGGGGGAAGAGGGTTTGGGGGAAGAGGTTTTGGGGGAAGAGGTTTTGGGGGAAGAAGGTTTGGGGGAAGAGGGTTTGGGGGTAGGGGGTTTGGGGATAGAGGGTTTGGGGGAAGAGGGTTTGGGGGAAGAGGATTTGGGGGAAGAGGGTTTGGGGGAAGAGGGTTTGGGGGAAGGGGGTTTGGGGGAAGAGGGTTTGGGGGAAGAGGGTTTGGGGGAAGGGGGTTTGGGGGAAGAGGGTTTGGGGGAAGAGGGTTTGGGGGAAGAGGGTTTGGGGGAAGAGGGTTTGGGGGAAGAGGTTTTGGGGGAAGAAGGTTTGGGGGAAGAGGGTTTGGGGGTAGGGGGTTTGGGGAAGAGGGTTTGGGGGAAGAGGGTTTGGGGGAAGAGGGTTTGGGGGAAGAGGTTTTGGGGGAAGAGGTTTTGGGGGAAGAAGGTTTGGGGGAAGAGGGTTTGGGGGTAGGGGGTTTGGGGATAGAGGGTTTGGGGGAAGAGGGTTTGGGGGAAGAGGATTTGGGGGAAGAGGGTTTGGGGGAAGAGGGTTTGGGGGAAGGGGGTTTTGGGGGGAAGAGGGTTTGGGGGAAGAGGGTTTGGGGGAAGGGGGTTTGGGGGAAGAGGGTTTGGGGGAAGAGGGTTTGGGGGAAGAGGGTTTGGGGGAAGAGGGTTTGGGGGAAGAGGTTTTGGGGGAAGAAGGTTTGGGGGAAGAGGGTTTGGGGGTAGCGGGTTTGGGGATAGAGGGTTTGGGGGAAGAGGGTTTGGGGGAAGAGGATTTGGGGGAAGAGGGTTTGGGGGAAGAGGGTTTGGGGGAAGGGGGTTTGGGGGAAGAGGGTTTGGGGGAAGAGGGTTTGGGGGAAGGGGGTTTGGGGGAAGAGGGTTTGGGGGAAGAGGGTTTGGGGAAGAGGTTTTGGGGGAAGAAGGTTCGGGGGAAGTGGGTTTGGGGGAAGAGGGTTTGGGGGAAGAGGGTTTGGGGAAGAGGTTTTGGGGGAAGAGGGTTTGGGGGAAGAGGGTTTGGGGGAAGAGGGTTTGGGGAAGAGGTTTTGGGGGAAGAAGGTTTGGGGGAAGAGGGTTTGGGGGAAGAGGTTTTGGGGGAAGAGGTTTTGGGGGAAGAAGGTTTGGGGGAAGAGGGTTTGGGGGTAGGGGGTTTGGGGATAGAGGGTTTGGGGGAAGAGGGTTTGGGGGAAGAGGATTTGGGGGAAGAGGGTTTGGGGGAAGAGGGTTTGGGGGAAGGGGGTTTGGGGGAAGAGGGTTTGGGGGAAGAGGGTTTGGGGGAAGGGGGTTTGGGGGAAGAGGGTTTGGGGGAAGAGGGTTTGGGGGAAGAGGGTTTGGGGGAAGAGGGTTTGGGGGAAGAGGTTTTGGGGGAAGAAGGTTTGGGGGAAGAGGGTTTGGGGGTAGGGGGTTTGGGGATAGAGGGTTTGGGGGAAGAGGGTTTGGGGGAAGAGGATTTGGGGGAAGAGGGTTTGGGGGAAGAGGGTTTGGGGGAAGGGGGTTTGGGGGAAGAGGGTTTGGGGGAAGAGGGTTTGGGGGAAGGGGGTTTGGGGGAAGAGGGTTTGGGGGAAGAGGGTTTGGGGAAGAGGTTTTGGGGGAAGAAGGTTCGGGGGAAGTGGGTTTGGGGGAAGAGGGTTTGGGGGAAGAGGGTTTGGGGAAGAGGTTTTGGGGGAAGAGGGTTTGGGGGAAGAGGGTTTGGGGGAAGAGGGTTTGGGGAAGAGGTTTTGGGGGAAGAAGGTTTGGGGGAAGAGGGTTTGGGGGTAGGGGGTTTGGGGATAGAGGGTTTGGGGGAAGAGGGTTTGGGGGAAGAGGATTTGGGGGAAGAGGGTTTGGGGGAAGAGGGTTTGGGGGAAGGGGGTTTGGGGGAAGAGGGTTTGGGGGAAGAGGGTTTGGGGGAAGGGGGTTTGGGGGAAGAGGGTTTGGGGGAAGAGGGTTTGGGGAAGAGGTTTTGGGGGAAGAAGGTTCGGGGGAAGTGGGTTTGGGGGAAGAGGGTTTGGGGGAAGAGGGCTTGGGGGAAGAGATTCAACATTGACGGATTGGGAAAAGGCGTGTACGGGACAGGTGACGAGGAAGCAGGCGCGCGGGGCGGAATGCGGGGCGGAGGAGCCAGCAAGAGGCATGAAGCAGGTTTCGTGGAGGAGAACGTGCCATCGCAAGTAGAGCTCTCATGGGCAGTGGAGAGAGAAGGATGTTAAGGGTGTATGTAATGGGCGCACGAAAGACGAGGATTCCGGGATAGCGGCGGCATGACGGCGGGCGGCGTGGAAGTGTGCGACATGGACGGCACGAGGTGGGCAAGAAGGTGGGCAACGAAGTTGGGCACGTGGTGTGGTAGAAGCAAGAATGCGGCGGGGTGCGCATGATCATCGTGACACATGACGAGGGCATTCAAAAGCTTCCAAATGGCGAACATTCCAGGCGAACAGCTGCGCTTAGCAAGGCACGTGGCTCTGCTGTCCCACACGTCGTGTTTGTTAATAGCCCCTCACTCGAGAATGGGTTAAGCCTATACCGCGTACAGTGGCTACCTGCCGAAAGAGACGTCCCAGGAGCGGTAATCGAAGGGCTTGCGGCCATCGACGCGCAGCTCGTCGCGCACCGCCGCGAGAATGAAGTCGCACTCGTTCGCCGACACCGTCGCCACTGCCCCCTTGGCGACCCCCATTGCGACACGCTGCGACTGTCGCTGGCCTCTTCGTGAACCCGCTAAGTAAAAAAATAATCGACTAGTGAAAGCAGCGCAAAACCCGCACTGGGCCGCACGGATCGAACAATGTTAGGTCGTGTCACACATAGGTTACATAGCTTTCAGTGTGAAACTCACACAGCACCTCTGGTATGTGGCGGTTCAAAGTGGAGAAGCTAACAAACCGCTCTATAATATACAACATCGTAGTCAACCGCTTTAACTGAACAAAATATTGAACCGTGCGTGACACGCCCTTCTAGCCCACTCTAATAAATTTTCACATTTCATGGACGGAATTCTTTGGGGTGCTTTGGTTTCGCGAAGCATGGGGTGTCACAAAAAGTCAATTTTCGGCTGGTTTTGTGCGATCCTCGTCAGTTCGTGTTTTTGGAGAACACGCCCTATTGCGCCACGGGGACGCAGAAGCAGCTATTCTTTACACCACCGTAAAGCAATTTTACCAGGCCAGTGGAGATAGTAATTGCACGATTGTCGTCGTAGTCCTCAACCCGTATGTAGAGCAAAGCGAGTGACCTGTATCGAGGACAGAGACAGTGGCCTGTATCGAGGACAGAGAGAGTGACCTGTATCGAGGCCACAAACTGACACTCATAGCGGCGGATAACACGTAAAAACTTTTCCCTGTTCGTTATTATCACCATGTTCACTCTAAAAGTCCATGCTGACGTGGACGCAAACTCCCAGACCAGTACCGCTGCTGCCGTCACCTCTTACAGCGACGCGGTTCGTCGTGCTACTAACGGGGCCTCGCTTAACGCTGCTAGTAGCACCTCGCCGGCGTCAGATGCGGAGAAGCTGACACGTGGCCAACGGCCAGGGGAACTCGAAGGTGAAATCCGCGAAGCTGAGGACCGCGGGGCGGGTGACAACGCGCGAAGTGACAATAACGAGAGCATCCCGTTCTCGTCCGGCAATCCCAAGGTGGAATCGACACGCGGCGTGATTCACCTCTACCGCAACACCGCGGAAAGCCCCGGCTCGCTGCAGAACCTGCCGGTAGGAGCTGTTGGGTGACCCGGGGAAGGGGGTGGGGAGTAAGGGGAAATGAGGGGGAGAGGGGGGAGGAGGTGGGACTACATCGGGGAGATGGGAGCAAGGAAGGCGGTGAGGGTGTGAAGGGCCGTGTGCTGCTGCAGGGTGCAGCGTGTGTGCGGGAACGGCGCACTTACCTTGCCTGTGTTGACTTCTGACGTCTGATGTTTGCCCATGTTGCCTCTTCTCCACTTTTCCTTTCACATGCCCCCTCACCAGCCCAACAGGGGCGAGGAGCTATGTGTGCTACTAGCACTGTCCACGTACATGCCAACTTCTGTTATTTGCTGTTTGCCCATGTCTCGTCTTGTCTCCCACCCACATGACAGGCGCCCACTTGTGCTGTTTGCGATTTCCCATGCCTCCTCTTCTCTCCCATCCACGCCACGGCGCCACGCCATGCGCCCTCGCTCACCAGCCCGACAGGGGCGTGGAGCCGTGCGGGCGGGCAGTGCCCACGTACATCACAGGCGCTGACTTGTGCTGTTTTCTGTTTGCCCATGCCCCGTGTCCCCCCTGACCCCTTTCTCTGTTGCTCCCTCACCAGCCCGACAGGGGCATGGAGCTGTGTGTGCTGGCGGTGCCCACGTACATGACAGGCGCCGACTTCTGCCAGTTCACTGGCGCACTGCTGGGGGCTATCGAGAGCATGCGCATCGTCAGGTGCGGTTCGGTGCGGCGAGGTAAGGTGAGGTAGGGTGTGGTGCGTGAGAGATGAGGTGGGTTGAGGTTAAGTGCGGTTTGATGAGGTGGGACGTACTGCTGCTGGGGGCCATGAAGAGCATACGCGTTATCAGGTGGGGTGTTGTGAGTAACACATCTGAATTCAACTCAACCGGAACGACAGACTGTCAGGGCAGTACAGGGTGTTCATGGAACTGAGTCGAATCAACTTTCGGCTCTCTGCCTTCTCTGCCTTCTCTGCTGTCCCATGCCCGCCTCGCTGTCCTTTGTCAACTCTTCACCGGGAACGAAACGAACGACAGCCTATCGGAGCACTACATACATGGTGCTCATGCGAAGGAACGAATGAATGAAGTCACCTGTCTCCCCTTTGCCTGCCTGTTTGCCTGTCTTTGCCCCTCCTGTCAAGTCAACCGCCCCACCAGGAACGACAGCTACATACATGCTGCTCATGCGAATGAATGTTGTCGCTCTTTCCCCTGCTTCCGCTGCTGCGCCCTGTCAACCCTACACCAGGAACGACAGCCTATCAGAGCGCTACATGGTGCTCATGCGAATGAAGTCCCAAGAGGCGGCGGATGGCTTTTTCCGGCAGTTCAACAACAAACCATTTTCCTCCATGGAGGTGCGCCCCTCCCTCCCTCTCCCTCTCTCACACCTCCACAACAAGCCCTCCCTACCCACAACAAGCCCTCCCTACCCACAACAAGCCCTCCCTACCCACAACAAGCCCTCCCTACCCACAACAAGCCCTTCTCCTCCATGGACGTGCGCGTGCCACTCTCTCCTCTCTCCCCTGCATCCTCTGCAAAAGCACCTGTTCTCCGTCTAGCAACAGCCTCGTTGTTGTTATCAATTAACTCGATGTCAAACGGCTTGTCTCATCCATAATTTCTTGCGACAATTATCTCCTCATCCCTCATCCACACATGTCAGAGTGGGGTGTTGTTCATGGGTGTTGCCTTGCCGTCCCCCGGTCCTCGCCCTACCCCCCTGTCCCCCTCATGCCCAATTCCCCATGCGCATCCCCCACATCCCATCTATCAGAGCGAGCTGTCTCGGGTGTTGTATACGAAGCAGGCTGTGGTGACGGCCTCCCATCCCCTCGTCCCCCTCCCCATCCCCTCGTCCCCCTCATTCCCCATTTCCCATGCCCATCCCCCATTCCTATGTGGCAGAGCGAGTTGTGCCGCGTGCTGTTCACAAAGCAGGTGCTGGTGACGGGGTCGCAGGAGGATGCAGCCACGCCCCCTGCCCATAAAGCGGGGCTGTCAGATGTCTCAAAAGCACTCCCCCGTCCTGCCCTCCCCTTCCGTTTCCCCATTCCCTGTCCACCTTGCTTCCCCCCCGTCCATTCCCACGTGTCAGAGCGAGTTGTGTCGGGTGCTGTTCACGAAGCAGGTGCTGGTGACGGGGTCGCAGGAGGAGGCAGCCACGCCCCCCGCGGGCCTCACAGAGCTGCCCTCCTGCCCCGTGTGCCTCGGTAAGCCGCTGGCCATTACCACCATAGCCCCCTCTGCTGCCTCCTGCGCAACTCCCAACCCGCCTACCTGCCCCCTTGCCAGCTTCACAGACCTGCCCTCCTGCCCTCATGCTGCTGCTCTGAGATGGAGACATCAGCGGCTTGCTTAAAACGATGTGCCTCCATCTCACTCCTTTCCCCCCTCCCCTCCCTTTTCTGGTTCGTCCATACGCCTCCCTTCCCTCCCCCATCTGGTTCGTCCGTACCCCTCCTCACCACCCCACCTATCACCCGCCCCCGTTCCTCATGTGTGGGAGAGCATGGCAGAGCGCTTGGATCGGCACATCAGCGGCATTCTCACCACCGTGTGCAACCACTCCTTCCACTCCTCCTGCATCTCCAAATGGACCGACTCCTCCTGCCCTGTGCGTGCTGTGTGTTCCGTGCATGTGCCATGTCATGTTATGTGTGCGCCCATGCCATACCCTTCTCTGCCTGCTCTCCTCCTGCATCTCCAAATGGACCGACTCGTCCTGCCCTGTGCGTGCTCTTGACCTTTGAGCTCACTCAAAGGGCATCCAGTATGCTCGTTGGCGGATGTGCACTCCCACTCGTCCTCTTGTACACGCCCCTCTTGCCCCATGCGTGCATGTGCCGTGTCATGTCCTCTCTGCGTGCATGTGCCGTGTCATGTCCTCTCTGCGTGCATGTGCCGTGTCATGTCCTCTCTGCGTGCATGTGCCGTGTCATGTCCTCTCTGCGTGCATGTGCCGTGTCATGTCCTCTCTGCGTGCATGTGCCGTGTCATGTCCTCTCTGCATGCATGTGCCGTGTCATGTCCTCTCTGCGTGCATGTGCCGTGTCATGTCCTCTCTGCGTGCATGTGCCGTGTCATGTCCTCTCTGCGTGCATGTGCGGTGTCTTGTCCTCTCTGCGTGCATGTGCCGTGTCATGTCCTCTCTGCGTGCATGTGCCGTGTCATGTCCTCTCTGCGTGCATGTGCCGTGTCATGTCCTCTCTGCGTGCATGTGCCGTGTCATGTCCTCTCTGCGTGCATGTGCCGTGTCATGTCCTCTCTGCGTGCATGTGCCGTGTCATGTCCTCTCTGCGTGCATGTGCCGTGTCATGTCCTCTCTGCGTGCATGTGCCGTGTCATGTCCTCTCTGCGTGCATGTGCCGTGTTATGTCCTCTCTGCGTGCATGTGCCGTGTCATGTCCTCTCTGCGTGCATGTGCCGTGTCATGTCCTCTCTGCGTGCATGTGCCGTGTCATGTCCTCTCTGCGTGCATGTGCCGTGTCATGTCCTCTCTGCGTGCATGTGCCGTGTCATGTCCTCTCTGCGTGCATGTGCCGTGTCATGTCCTCTCTGCGTGCATGTGCCGTGTCATGTCCTCTCTGCGTGCATGTGCCGTGTCATGTCCTCTCTGCGTGCATGTGCCGTGTCATGTCCTCTCTGCGTGCATGTGCCGTGTCATGTCCTCTCTGCGTGCATGTGCCGTGTCATGTCCTCTCTGCGTGCATGTGCCGTGTCATGTCCTCTCTGCGTGCATGTGCCGTGTCATGTCCTCTCTGCGTGCATGTGCCGTGTCATGTCCTCTCTGCGTGCATGTGCCGTGTCATGTCCTCTCTGCGTGCATGTGCCGTGTCATGTCCTCTCTGCGTGCATGTGCCGTGTCATGTCCTCTCTGCGTGCATGTGCCGTGTCATGTCCTCTCTGCATGCATGTGCCGTGTCATGTCCTCTCTGCGTGCATGTGCCGTGTCATGTCCTCTCTGCGTGCATGTGCGGTGTCTTGTCCTCTCTGCGTGCATGTGCGGTGTCATGTCCTCTCTGCGTGCATGTGCCGTGTCATGTCCTCTCTGCGTGCATGTGCCGTGTCATGTCCTCTCTGCGTGCATGTGCCGTGTCATGTCCTCTCTGCGTGCATGTGCCGTGTCATGTCCTCTCTGCGTGCATGTGCCGTGTCATGTCCTCTCTGCGTGCATGTGCCGTGTCATGTCCTCTCTGCGTGCATGTGCCGTGTCATGTCCTCTCTGCGTGCATGTGCCGTGTTATGTCCTCTCTGCGTGCATGTGCCGTGTCATGTCCTCTCTGCGTGCATGTGCCGTGTCATGTCCTCTCTGCGTGCATGTGCCGTGTCATGTCCTCTCTGCGTGCATGTGCCGTGTCATGTCCTCTCTGCGTGCATGTGCCGTGTCATGTCCTCTCTGCGTGCATGTGCCGTGTCATGTCCTCTCTGCGTGCATGTGCCGTGTCATGTCCTCTCTGCGTGCATGTGCCGTGTCATGTCCTCTCTGCGTGCATGTGCCGTGTCATGTCCTCTCTGCGTGCATGTGCCGTGTCATGTCCTCTCTGCGTGCATGTGCCGTGTCATGTCCTCTCTGCATGCATGTGCCGTGTCATGTCCTCTCTGCGTGCATGTGCCGTGTCATGTCCTCTCTGCGTGCATGTGCCGTGTCATGTCCTCTCTGCGTGCATGTGCCGTGTCATGTCCTCTCTGCGTGCATGTGCCGTGTCATGTCCTCTCTGCGTGCATGTGCCGTGTCATGTCCTCTCTGCGTGCATGTGCCGTGTCATGTCCTCTCTGCGTGCATGTGCCGTGTCATGTCCTCTCTGCGTGCATGTGCCGTGTCATGTCCTCTCTGCGTGCATGTGCCGTGTCATGTCCTCTCTGCGTGCATGTGCCGTGTCATGTCCTCTCTGCGTGCATGTGCCGTGTCATGTCCTCTCTGCGTGCATGTGCCGTGTCATGTCCTCTCTGCGTGCATGTGCCGTGTCATGTCCTCTCTGCGTGCATGTGCCGTGTCATGTCCTCTCTGCGTGCATGTGCCGTGTCATGTCCTCTCTGCGTGCATGTGCCGTGTCATGTCCTCTCTGCGTGCATGTGCCGTGTCATGTCCTCTCTGCGTGCATGTGCCGTGTCATGTCCTCTCTGCGTGCATGTGCCGTGTCATGTCCTCTCTGCGTGCATGTGCCGTGTCATGTCCTCTCTGCGTGCATGTGCCGTGTCATGTCCTCTCTGCGTGCATGTGCCGTGTCATGTCCTCTCTGCGTGCATGTGCCGTGTCATGTCCTCTCTGCGTGCATGTGCCGTGTCATGTCCTCTCTGCGTGCATTGTGCCGTGTCATGTCCTCTCTGCATGCATGTGCCGTGTCATGTCCTCTCTGCGTGCATGTGCCGTGTCATGTCCTCTCTGCGCGCATGTGCCGTGTCATGTCCTCTCTGCATGCATGTGCCGTGTCATGTCCTCTCTGCGTGCATGTGCCGTGTCATGTGTTGTAACTGTATCTTATACACAACATACATAGGCTAGAATGGTGTAGCTCTTTATGTTCTTGGGGGGTTGGGTGTACACTCCAACCACATTTTGTGGTTGGTTAAGGTTGGGTTTGGTCTTGGTCCTTGGTTGGCACTTGCCAACTTTTGGTCCTAAGGCCTACCAATCACAACCTAGCAACATTGTGGGGTTACCTACTCCACAAGGCATCTCCGCCATTGGCCAAATTAGTGGCCAATAGGGTTTGCTCCTTCTTCACCCCTCTCTTGCTTGCATGCTTGTACTATAGAGCCTCAATGGCTCATCATTCAACTACTCTTGAATTCTATCATGGTATTCAGAGCCAAATGGCTCACGCCACCTTCCCTCGATCCTCATGTTGTACTTCCCTCCCCGCTCCCTTACCCTAGCGGACTGTGACCTACATCCGCCCACCCGCTCCTCAGATCTAGCCTCCCGCGGCTCAGTTCCGCCTCCCGCGGCTCAGTTCCGCATCCCGCACCTCAGATCTAGCGTTCCGCGGCGTAGATCTCCTCCTCCGCGGCCTCAATCCTCCCTCCCGCGGCCTCTATCCTCCCTCCCGCAGCCCCTATCCGCTCCCCCGTGGCAGCAATCCCTCCTCCCGCCGCCACGCCTCCATCTGCCCGCCGACGCGTCCGACCTCTGCGCCGACGCGGACGACCAGCGCGGCGACGCGGACGACCTGCGACCGCCGCGGACGGCCAGCGCGCGACCCCCGACGACCAGCGCGCTGCCGCGGACGGCCAGCGCGGCCTCGCCGACGGCCCGCGCGCTGACGCGGACGGCCAACGCGGCCCCGCCGACGACCCGCGCGCTGACGCGGACGGCCAGCGCGGCCCCGCCGACGACCCGCGCGCTGACGCGGACGGCCAGCGCGGCCCCGCCGACGACCCACGCGCTGACGCGGACGGCCAGCGCGGCCCCGCCGACGACCCGCGTGCTGACGCGGACTGCGAGCGCGGCCCCACCGACGAGCCGCGTGCTGACGCGGACAGCCAGCGCGCGGCCACGAAAGACCCGCGCGCCACCGCGGACGGCCAGCGCGCGGCCGTCGACGCCCCTGCGCCGACGTGGACGGCTGGCGCGTAGCCGCGGCTGATCTGCCCTCCGTCGCGTTCGCCTCCCCGCGATCTCCACGACCTCGAAACCCTAATTCCTCCCCGCACTTCCGCACCAGCCTCTCTTCCCCTCTACCTCCTCCCCCTACTCCACCCCTAACGGCATCAGCAGCAGCAGCAGCGGCATCGGCGGCGGCAGCAGCAGCGGCATCGGCGGCGGCAGCAGCAGCGGCATCGGCGGCGGCAGCAGCAGCGGCATCGGCGGCGGCAGCAGCAGCGGCATCGGCGGCGGCAGCAGCAGCGGCATCGGCGGCGGCAGCAGCAGCGGCATCGGCGGCGGCAGCAGCAGCGGCATCGGCGGCGGCAGCAGCAGCGGTGGCACCAATACCAACAGCAGCAGCGGCGCCTTCACCCCTCCGCCGTCATGGCGTCATCCGACTCCTCGGTCGATCTAGCGACCATTGACGCCCTCGAGCTGCTCGGCGACAACTCGGCCGCCAACTGGCACTCCTATGCCCACTCCGTCGAGGTGTTGCTCTCCTCGGTCATCGTCAGTGGTTATACACTCCGCTCCGTCGTGTACCAGGAGGAAGGCGGACTCCAGCCCATCGCCCCTTCTGCCCCCACCGGACCTCCTCCTGATGAGCCCGGACCTGAGCCCGAGTCCCCTGGTGATCCTCCCTCCTTCGCACCGGATGTCAACAATCCTCAAAGCGTGGAAACTGCCATCCGTGCCTACCGCAACACACTCAACGACCACCTTCGCCGTCAACTGCGCTATGAGGACGACAAGCGCGCCTACGACGAGGCTGCTGCCCGTCACCGCGACTACCACGCCCAACTCACCACGTACACTACACGCCTCGCTAGCTACACCTCCGACATCGCTGCGTGGCGCATTGCTGACCGCCGAGCTCTCGCCATCCTCCTCGCCACTATCCCCTCCTCCCTCAAGCGAGAACTCTCACCCACCTCCTCCTCCCACCTGTGGCAACTGCTTGTCGACCTCTTTGACCGGCAGGACATCGCCACCCTCTATGCCCTCATCAAGGACTTTGGATCCATCACCATGGATTCCACTGCCGGCGCAGCCGCCTTTACTCGCCGCGTCCTTGACCTTGCTCGCCGCCTTGCAGCACTTGGTGTTACCTACCCTGACACCGTCATCTGCTGCCACCTCCTCGAAGGCCTCACTCCTGCCTTCGATGCCCACAAGCTGGCCTATATGCAACTCCTCTCCAAACATGACACTCCCGCTCAAGTTGCCCAGTGGATTATCACCACCGAGGCAGAAATCCTTCGCCACTCCTCCTCCACTGCCGCGGTAGCACAGCAGCGCAGCGGCAAAGGCGGACGTGGAGGGGGGCGTGGAGGTGGGCGTGGAGGTGGTCGAGGCGGCTCTGGCGGTCGTGGTGGTGCGGGTCGTGGTGCAGCAGCGGCCTTCCCACCCTGTCAGTATCTTCCCCTTTATGGCCCCACCCGAGGCCAACGCTGCAACCAAACCACTCATGCAACTGAGACGTGCTTTAAGGCACTCAGCGATGAGTGGTTCGCTCGTGGGAACTCTGGCACCCCTCCTCGCTGGTCCGCCCTTAATCCCCGCCCCACTCCCCTCGACGTTCGCACCTCTCCCCTCTACGCTCCTTCCTCCTCCTCCCAGGCCCACCAGGCCTTTGCTCTCCCCTCTCAGCAGCAGCAGCAGCAGCAGCATCAGCAGCAGCAGCAGCAGCAGCAGCAGCAGCAGAGTGTACAACAGCAGGGACCGCAGCAGTACGGGCAGCAGCTTCAGCAGCTCCAGCAGCAGCTTCAGCAGCTCCAGCAGCAGCTTGACCTCCAGCCCCAGCTTCCTCTCCTCCCTCCTCCTCCTGTCCCCCAGCAGCAACCGTTTCCCGGCTGGACCGCTGGGAATGCAGCCTCTGCGGCCCACCTCTCCGGTCCCTCCCCTGCGCCGTCCACAGGTGGTAGTGTGACCCCCTTTCCCTCCTGTGGCTTTGTTGGTCTGCTTAGTCAGCCTCCCTCTGTTGCATCCCCTATGTATGCCCCTGCTACTAATGAAACTTCCATTCAGTACTCCGCCTCACCCTCCTCCACCCTTGAGTTCGTCCTGGATAGTGGAGCCACTGACAATGTCTTTCGCGATGCTGGCAAACTCCATCCTCTCCCCACACCCACGTCCCTCCTCGGCGCTGACAGCAGCTTTTCCATCCCCTGTCACAACACGTCCACCCTTCCCTGTCCTCTCTTTCCCTCAGGTACCGTCACAGGTCTTCACATTCCCTCCCTTCGCACTAACCTCCTTTCCCAAAGGTCCCTCCAACAATCCATGATCACCACTGTCACCCCCGGAGGTGCTAACCATTGTGACCTTTTCCAAACCTCCACAGGTCGCTTCCTCGCCCGCATTCCCTACTGTCACCGCTCCCGTCTATACACCCTTCGGGTTCCTCGCCCCTTCACCTTCCAAGTTGCCTCCCCCCCCCTCCTCCCTCCCCCTCCTCCCCTCCCTCCCACTAACCCACCCGTCCCCCCCCGCCCCCCTGACTCTGACTGCTCATGTCGCTCCCTCTCCCACCCTGCTATCCTCCTCCATCACAGGCTAGGTCACCCCAACTTCGCCACTCTGCGCTCCTCTGCATCCTCCGGTCTCCTCCACGGTCTCCCCTCCTCCCTCCCTCCCCTCCCAAAGTCCCCTGCCCCCCCTTGCGTCGTCTGTGTTCAGAGCAAGCTCAAGCAGCAGCCGCACCGGAGCTCCCCCTCCGCTGCAGCCCAGCCACTTGATCTTGTTCACATGGACCTCTGGGGCCCTAACCCCTCCCCCACTCGCCAAGGCCATCGCTACCTCCTCGTGCTCGTCGATGATCACAGTCGGTACTCGTCCGTCTCTCTCCTTCGGACGAAGGCGGACGCCCCGACTGCGATCATTGCCTGGCTCGAACAGGCAAACACCCACTTTGGGCGCTCTGTTCGCCGCCTCCACTCTGATGGTGGTGGTGAGTTCCTTAACAACCAGATCTCCTCCTATTGCCAGTCCCGCGGCATTCTTCAGACTTACACCCTCCCTCACTCCCCACAGCAGAACGGTGTTGCTGAGAGCCGTGTTCGGGAGATCACCAAAACGGCTCGGTGTCTCCTTGTCCACGCCTCCTGCCCCCCTTCTCTGTGGGGCTACGCCCTCCTTCATGCCGCCCTCCTTACTAACCTTTACCCTCACCCCCTCCTCCCCTCCACCACCCCCACTGAGCTATGGACAAAGGACAAACCCGATGTCTCCCCTCTTCGGGTCTGGGGCTCAAAGGCATATGTCCTCATTCACCCATCTGACCGATCCCGTTCCCTAGGAAAACTTGCCCCTCGTACCCTTCCCTGCATCTTCCTTGGTCATAACCCCTCTTCCCCCGACTATCTTTTCCTCCACCCCCCCTCCGGTCGACTAATTCGCAGCAGGGATGTCGTCTTTGACGAATCCACCCCATACTATTCCTCTCCTCCGTCCAATGACCCACTCCCACCTCTAACTCGTCCCCTTGTCTGGTCTGACACCACCCCTCCCCCTCTCCTCCCTCCTCCCCCCATCCTCCCACCCCCTTCCCCACCGCCCCCCCAGTCCCACGGTGCCCCTCCCTCGTCTGGTGACATCTTTGACCCGGACCCCCTGTCTTCCCCTGTCTCCCCCGCTCACTCCTCCCCTGGTGCCCCTCCTCCCCCTCCCTCCCAACCCTCGCCTCCCTCCCCCCCTCCCCGCACCACACTCACCCGGTATCCTCACACCAGGTCATGCGACGGTATTCTTGGTGCACCGCCCCCTGTTACCCTCTCTACCTCTACCCTCCCCCCTCTTTCCCCCCTTCTTCACCACTTCTTCCAGGCTGTCCTGCATCAAGCCCCTCATGCACCCGCCCCCTCTACTACCTCTCCAGCAGCGGCAGCAGCAGCAGCTCCAGCAGCAGCCACCGCAGCGGCACCAGCAGCGGCACCAGCAGCGGCAAGTATAACGGCACCAGCAGCGGCGAGTGCAGCGGCAGCGGCGGCCTCGGCAGCGGCACCAGCAGCGGCGGCACCAACAGTGGCACCAGCAGCGGCACCTGCGGTCATCCGCGCCTTCCACACCTCCCTCTCTGAGGACTCCCATGAGGAGTTCCTTGACCTCCACCTCTCTGACCCCTCCCTCCTTCCCATCACCTCTGACCTCTCTGGAACACCAGTCTTCGCCTTTTCCTCCGCACCCTCCACCTTCATCCCAACCACGTATGAGGAGGCCATGGCTTGTCCCGACGCCCCGCTCTGGCTCGCCGCCATCATGAAGGAGCTCGAGGCGTTTATTGCCAACTCCTCCTTCGTTGATGTCTCTCGCCCTCCCCCCTCTACGAACGTGGTCAAGGGGAAGTGGGTGTTTCGCGTCAAGCAGCTGCCAGGAGAACCGCCCGTCTACAAGGCCCGGTATTGCGCCAAGGGCTTCACGCAGCGGTATGGTTTTGACTTCTTCGACACCTTCTCCCCCACCGCCAAACCTGCTACCGTTCGCGTCGTCCTCGACCTCGCCGCTCGCCTCAACATGGAGATCCACTCGATGGATGTCTCCAACGCCTTCCTGCAAGGCGTACTACGTGAACTGGTCTACATGGAGCGCCCAGCGGGCTTCCACCTCCCCTTCCCCGCTGACTCTGTCTGGCAGCTGCGCCGCCCAGTGTATGGGCTCCGCCAGGCTCCCAAGGAATGGCATGCCAAGCTTGCTGCCACCCTTGTCGAGCTTGGGTTTCGCACCTCCCGCTCCGACGCCAGCCTCTTCCTCCGCACCTCCCCCTCCCCCTTCTACATCCTCGTCTATGTTGACGATATGATTCTTCTCACTGCCGATCCTGCCGAGCTCGAGACTGTCAAGACGGAGCTGGGCAGCCGTCTCAAGTGCAAAGACCTGGGAGAGCTGCAGCACTACCTCGGCATGACCATCACTCGCGACCGCTCCGCCCGCACCATCTCTCTCTCTCAGGGCCACTACCTCCAGCAGGTCTTAGAACGGTTTGCAATGGCGCGCGGTAACCCCCAGCCCACTCCCCTTTCGGTCGGGCACCACCTCTCCCCACCCTCCTCTCCCTCCCCTTCCTCCCATCCTTATCCTGAACTCATCGGCTCTCTCATGTACGCCATGGTCTCTACTCGCCCTGACCTTGCCTACCCCATCAGCGTCCTCGCTCGCTTCGTTGGCGCTGGCAAGCATACGGAGGAGCACTGGCAGGCCGCCAAGCGCGTTCTTCGCTACATTCGTGGCACCAAGGACTATGTCCTTACCCTTGGCGGCCCTTCCCCACCCCTCCTCCACGGCTACAGCGACTCTTCTTGGGCTGACTCTCGACCGGATCGGCGGTCCTCTCAGGGTTATGGCTTCTCTCTGGGCAGCGGCCTCATCAGCTGGCGGTCCACACGCTCCTCTGCCGTCGCCCTCTCCTCCTGCGAGGCAGAGCTCTACGCTGCAACCATGGCCGCGCAGGAGGCGCGCTGGCTCACCTTCCTCCTTGATGAGCTTGGAACCCCCCAACGCTGTCCCACCATCTGGTGTGACAACGCTAGCACCATCCACCTCACCAAGGATGCTGTGTATCATGGGCGCTCCAAACACATTGAGCTCCGCTACTTTTTCATTCGTGAACTCGTTGAGGCCGGCCATCTTCGCCTTGGCAAAATCAACTCGGCGGCCAACCTCGCTGACATCTTCACCAAAGCCCTTCCCCAGGCGTCCCACTCCTTCCTTCTGCGCCTCCTTGGCCTCACCCCTCCTCCGGTTTTGGCGGCCTCCTGATTCCATTTTCTAGCCTTATGCCTGTTGGGGGGTTGTGTTGTAACTGTATCTTATACACAACATACATAGGCTAGAATGGTGTAGCTCTTTATGTTCTTGGGGGGTTGGGTGTACACTCCAACCACATTTTGTGGTTGGTTAAGGTTGGGTTTGGTCTTGGTCCTTGGTTGGCACTTGCCAACTTTTGGTCCTAAGGCCTACCAATCACAACCTAGCAACATTGTGGGGTTACCTACTCCACAAGGCATCTCCCCTTCTATCATCATGTCCTCTCTGCGTGCATGTGCCGTGTCATGTCCTCTCTGCGTGCATGTGCCGTGTCATGTCCTCTCTGCGTGCATGTGCCGTGTCATGTCCTCTCTGCGTGCATGTGCCGTGTCATGTCCTCTCTGCGTGCATGTGCCGTGTCATGTCCTCTCTGCGTGCATGTGCCGTGTCATGTCCTCTCTGCGTGCATGTGCCGTGTCATGTCCTCTCTGCTTGCATGTGCCATGCCATGTCCTCTCTGCGTGCATGTGCCGTGTCATGTCCTCTCTGCGTGCATGTGCCGTGTCATGTCCTCTCTGCGTGCATGTGCCGTGTCATGTCCTCTCTGCGTGCATGTGCCGTGTCATGTCCTCTCTGCGTGCATGTGCCGTGTCATGTCCTCTCTGCGTGCATGTGCCGTGTCATGTCCTCTCTGCGTGCATGTGCCGTGTCATGTCCTCTCTGCGTGCATGTGCCGTGTCATGTCCTCTCTGCGTGCATGTGCCGTGTCATGTCCTCTCTGCGTGCATGTGCCGTGTCATGTCCTCTCTGCGTGCATGTGCCGTGTCATGTCCTCTCTGCGTGCATGTGCCGTGTCATGTCCTCTCTGCGTGCATGTGCCGTGTCATGTCCTCTCTGTGTGCATGTGCCATGTCATGTCCTCTCTGCGTGCATGTGCCGTGTCATGTCCTCTCTCTGTGCGTATGCCGTGTCATGTCCTCTCTACATGCATCTGTGCGTGCACCTACCCATCCCCTCCCTGCCTGCTCTTTCATCTTCAAGCAACCATTCCCCCACTCCTCCCCTTTCCCACTCCACCCACGCGCCCCAATGGCTGCTGCGTTCCCCCCCCCCCACACCACACCTGCTGTCACTCATACCAGCTGTGCCTTCCGCATGCCTGCCAGACAGCCGTCCGTCACACAAGTTGTGAGCGCACCACCTTGATTCTTCCCGTCCTGTATTCCCACATCCGCCCCCTCTCCTCTTCCGCATACCTGCCAGACGGCATACCATCACACAAGTTCTGAGCCCCTCAGTAATATATCATCCCCTCCTCCCCCCCCCCGCCCACATCACCACCCGCAGGTGTGTCGCTACTGCCAGCAGCCGTCAGACAAGTCGCAGTGTGCAGTGTGCGGTTCACACGACAGCCTCTGGATTTGCCTCATCTGCGGCTTCGTGGGGTGTGGCCGGTGAGTGCTTCATTCTTGCATGCTTGCTTGCTTTCTTTCTTGCATGTGTGCTGGTGTGGCGTGCTGGTGTGGGTCATGGAGAGACTGGCTGTGGTTCAGGGTAACTCTGCAGTGTCCTCGCCATTCAAACGACAGACAGCCTCTGCATCTGCCTCATATGCGACGGTGTGGGGTGTGGGCTTTGCTTGCTTGCTTGCTGGCTGGTGGGATGGTGTGGGGGACTGGCGGTGCTTTTCTGCGATCGTCAAGTGTGCTGTGTGCGGTGCGGCTCATGACATTCTCTGGATCATCTGCTTCGTCTACCTTACCCTTGCTTCCCACCCATCCGCACTTGAGAGCGCCGCAGCACTGCCATGCGCTGGAGGTGACAACTCACAGCAACGTGGAAGTAACCTTGTTCAGCGCACTTCTAGGGTTGAGCAAAGAAACGAACATGTGTTTGGTTCGCCTTGAACATGTCCGAGGCGAACCGAACAGGTTTTGTTTTTAGCTTAAAGTGTTCGTGACAAACGTGTTCGAGGTTCGCCCAAACACGCCTTCACAGGCGAACACCGAACATCTGTTTTTGCTAAAAGTCTTCGCCGAACCGAACGTGCAGGGGCGAACACGAACTTCCTTTCTCCCATCTCTCAAACCCCCCGGCACCACTCCTCTTCCCCCCTCCCCACAGATATCAAGGGGGCCACGCAGAGTCGCACTTCCGCACGTCGCAGCACTGCTACTCGCTGGAGGTGGCGTCGCAGCGCGTGTGGGACTACGTGGGCGACGCCTTCGTGCACCGCCTCGTGCTCTCCAAGACCGACGGCAAACTCGTTGAACTCCCCGCGCCTGGGGACCTTGGCGCAGGGGGACGCGGCGGAGGGGCAGGGGGAGGCGGAGGTGGAGGGGGAGGAGGTGGGGGCGATGGGGGAGATGGGCGTGTGGGAAGGGAGGGCGGGGCCGGTGTTGCTAGAGAGGGGAGTGATGGAGGGGGGAAAGAGAAAGGGGGGAGTGGGGTAGTGGGGAGTGCGGGGGGAAGGGGACGGGGGGAGGGAGGGGAGTGTGAAGTGGGGCCCGGAGGCAGCTGCAGCAACCAGCACCATCGCCACGGGGGGGATGAGGAGTTTGCCCAGGCCGTGATGAACAGCAAGCTCGAATCGGTAAGTTTTAAGTTGACTTGGAAAAGTGGGGAAGGGAATTGGGGAGAGTAGCAGCCCACAGCTGACATCACCATCGCCATTGGGCGGGGATAAGGAGTTTGCCAATGCGGTGATGAGCGGTTGCTTGAGTTTGGTAAGGCGCTGTGGCATCAACTGGAAGGGCTGTGACGTGGAGTGACACATGATTTGGTCGCATAAGTACGTTCCCTGCAGCAGCAACTTTATTGTGCATCAGGCGGTGCTTGCGTACTTGATGTGGGCTCCAGTAACAAGCCTCACTATGATCACCCATAGCCTCCTACCCACCCATCTCACACCACGTGATTTTTAGTCTACTCCACAGTCCGTGCGTCGGCCCCACACACCTCCAGAAACTGATGCGTTCAGTGCTGGCTTTGCAATAGGATTACTCAATCACACTGACAGTGTTCGATGGGTGGGCATGATAAACCTTCACCTCCCACCCATCACACGCGCTGGGAAAGGGTCAGTGCGTTCGCTGCAGCAGCTGGCATTCAAAGCACATTTAGCAGAATTTCTCGCTAGCGTGTTACTCATCAGCACCCCTGCTGGTTTCTGCTGCACAACTACGCTTCCGTGGCACTGCCTGCCCCATCGCCCAGCCAGCCCGTTACTCATAGGGCGCCCATTTGTTTTGCACCATCCATCCATCCATTCCTAGTGCGGACCTTGCCGTTACTTCTCACAGGAAGCATTTTTCTTCCTAGGTTGGTGTCACTTCTTGCCGTCCCTTCAAACCCCCCGCCTAATTCGCCGCTATTACCCCGTTGTTGCTGTTGTCCCCCTCCTCATCCCCTTTTCATCTCTGCCCCCCATGTGGCATATGACTACATGCACCTGCTAAGCTTGCACACACCCATGAGTGCCCATTTTGTTCTCGCTTCTCCTTCTTCTCCTCCCACATCTCCCTTGCACCCTCCGCTCTCACATCTTCTTCCCGTCCTGGTGGCTTGTGGGTACATCGGACCAGAAGACGACTGGAAGTGTGGACATGCGGTCTGCGATTTCGAGTGTGGTCGTGTGCTCGTCAGCGCGTACAACCACCTTCGCTCTCCTAGTTATGGCATTCAACTCATGCAAGACACAGCCGCTTACAATGGAAACACAGGGAGACACGAAAGTGCACGCTCTGTTCTTGCATGAGTTGAAGGCCATGCCCAGGAGAGCGGAGGTGGTTGTATGCGCTGTCAAGCGCCCGACCACACTCGAAATCGCAGATTGCGCATGTCCACACTTCGTCTTCACCTTGCACCCTCATCAGCCCCCATTTTCTTCTCACATTCTCCTTGCACGGTGCACCCTCGTTTCATCATCCCCTGTTTTCTTCCCAGATTCTCGTTGCACCCTCGTCATCTCCCGTTTGCTTCCCACATTCTCCGTGCACCCTCATTACCCCCCCATTTCTCTCCCCAGGTGGCCTATGAGTACACGCACCTGCTCACCACGCAGTTGGACTCACAACGACTGGTAACTCCTCTCCCAACCCTAAACTCTTGTCAACTATATGTTTGTTCCTGTTCTCAGGGGGGCTCAAATACCTGATTCCAGGTTCTAGAATCTAGCCCTCTGACTGCACGTATGTTCATAGTTTTTTCACACACACGAATGTTTTCTGATTTTAGGCACCCTAACTTACAACCAGTTGTACTCCAACTGTGCACGGTATTGACCGAACCGATTGGTTGACAATTTTGGTCAACCTCGAACCAGTCAGGTCCTAGTTCAATTTAAATTGGTTCGAAGTTGGTCCGACCACCTGCCAAGTTCTAAGCAGTTAAAGTCGAATCAGTTCAGGTCGAACATGTGTGCATGCCTAAAAGAGTGGAGGAATTTTATTGTATGGTAAAGACACAGGAAATTTTTAGATAACAGGTGAGCAACATTGTATGGCAGTCGAATGACGTGAGACGAATGATGCCAATTGAAAGTTGGCATTGAATCAACAGCGGACGACCGGACTGGGGCATACAAAAGAGGACGGATGGCTGATGACCAATGTGAGGCGGCTGAAAAGCGACGGCACACGACAAAAGACACAGCACAACTACGTCGCTGTTGTCACTATGAAACGACAGACAGGAGAGGAGATGACTGAAGACCGTTGACGGGAGAGGACTGAAGACCGCTGACAGGAGAGGACTGAAGACCGCTGACAGGAGAAAGACCGCTGACAGGAGAGGACTGAAGACCGCTGACAGGAGAGGACTGAAGACCGCTGACAGGAGAGGACTGAAGACCGCTGACAGGAGAGGACTGAAGACCGCTGACAGGAGAGGACTGAAGACCGCTGACAGGAGAGGACTGAAGACCGCTGACATTTCAATGCTTGTGTCGCCATGACTTTGCAAGTGTTTCACACTCCCACCCTGTCCCTGCATGCGCGTCCTCCATCCCCCATTCTCTCCCTGCACGTGCATGAACGCAATACTTGGAGGGCTTCCTGGCAGCACAAGTGGGGTGGAGGAGTGCATGCCTCTGAAGTATCACGATCTTTCATCCTTTTCGCCCCCTGCATGCGCATGCGCGCAGTACTTTGAGGGGCTGTTAGCAGCAGCCAAGGCCGAGAGGGACGAGGCGGTGGCAGCAGCAGAGGCGGCGAGGGAGAGTGTGAAGGTGCAGAAGCTGCAGTCCCGGCTGGAGCGCGCCGAGCAGGAGAAGGAGTTTCTGAGGCAGGTCAGTGGTTTTGGTTTGTAACAGCTTTTGTGATACTGGTAAGTATGAGACAGGTAAGTGGTAAAGCCATGGTTTGAGGTTCTGCAACAAAGGAAGGGAGCGAGAGTGTTTGGAGGTGAAGATGTGCAGTCCTGGCTGGAGCGCGCTGAGCAGGAGGAGGAGTTCCTGCAACAGGTGAGTGGCCTACTGGGTTTGGGACTGGCAGGTGAGTGGCCTACTGGGTTTGGGACTGGCAGGGCAGGTGAGTGGTTAAGCCGTGGCTTGACGAGCAAGGCACACAATGTAACTCTGCAAGGATTACATAGTGTGCCGGTCACACCGCAGCCAACCCTTGGCTTTTGCACGCAACTAGAGCTGAGCCGCTGAAGTACCAAAAGCAGTGACATGATGAATGCAGGCACCAAAGCCGTCCTTTCTTGTCAATCATCAAAGTTCCTTCAGCGATACCATACTACCATACTACCATCCTCTTGGCCTGTGGAACCCATGTGGTGTTGTAGCTGCCATGCTCCATGCTCCCCTGCACCCACTGTGTGCCTGTGGTGTGCCGGCAGGTGAACGACTCGCTAATTAAGAACCAGAAGCAGTGGCAGGAGAAGTTCAAGCAGCAGGAGGAGAGGTGAAAAGGGAACCAGGCAGGGGGTACGGGGAAGGATGAGTGGCGTGTGACGTGATGTGGCATGAGGGGGGAGTGTGGTGGAGGGGGGAGTGAGTGATGTTTGTGGTGTGAGTGGGAGGGTGGTGATCAAGTGGTATGCGGGTGGTGTGTCTGGGACCCACCTCCCATGACACTCTGCGGCTCATCGCCCTCTCACCTGCTCAAAGTCTCTCCTCAAAGGTGTTTTCCGTTTGATTGACTGCATCAACTCTGTCAGCCTGACTGAGTCCACGTTTCTTCCCCTCTCACCGTGTTGCGGCGGTGCTGGCAGGGTGAAGGCGGCAGTGGCTGCACGGGACGAGAAGATCAAAGACCTGGAGGAGCAGGTGAGAGGAGAGGAGCGCTTGAAGGGGCAATGAAACAGAGGAGTAGGTGACCAAAGGGGCTTGGCAAAGCTGACCCCCGTCTCTATGACCAACGACCTGGCCTCCTGACAGTAGTCGTGGTGCAAGCTCATTGTAAAACGCCATGACAAGTGTTTACCACCCTGCTCTCCCTCTTCCACTGGCTGCTTTATGCGCGATAGAGGCGCACAAGATAGTGTAGCGAGAAGGAGGGGGTGGTCTGATTGGCAGTTCGATGCGGCGTGGACAGGACACCTGTGTATCACCGCTCTCCCTCCAACACCCCCCCCCCCCCCCCCCCCCCCCGCCTCCCCCCTGCAGGTGCGGGATCTGATGGTGTTCATAGAGGCGCAGAAGATCGTGGAGCGAGAGGGAGGAGCAGGAACAGCAGAGGGCATCAGGGAGGGCACTGTGCTGGCTGTGGGGGGGGCGCCTGCTGCCGGGGAGAGAGGGGCAGGCAAGGCGCGGGGGCGGCACGGGAAGAGAAGATGATGCTGCTTGTGGGATGTGCAGACGAGGAGAGACGAGGTGTGTGGGATGGGATGCAGAGAGGACGGCGGAGGCAAGGACTTGCTTGCCTTACGGTCCCTGTATATGATCCCGCAGCTTTGCAAACCTTTGCTGGAGAGGGAAGCATCGATAGTGTTCTTTTACATGATGGAGAGGAACTTGTACCTAGTCTGTGTACAGTTATGCATGCATTGTGTACAAATGAGATGCACTAACTGTAAACAAGAACTGTACATTTTCCGTGGCGTGATTGTGATATAGAGTAGGGCGAGCCACCCTGACCCCAGCCTGCATCGCTCGATTTAATCATGACGAAATAACCGGGTTTGCACAAGAAAACCTCAAGAAAACCTCATATCAAGATAGTACGGTACTTTTTGCCTGATAAAAGTAGCGAGAGGTTTCAGGTTTAGGGGAATTTTCAGTGGGAGGTTGATATGAGGTTTTCTTGATACGAGGATAGGAATACGCTCTTATACACAGAATACAGGACTCCCACTAGTACCGTATCCCCCCGGATATACCCCCATGGGGGGCAATAATAAAACAGGTTTTTTCATGGGGGTGGGCTTATAATCGAGTAAATTTATAAGCGCCGGCGTTTATAAAATGACATACATATTTTTTTATATCTTTTAACACCAAACTGTAGGTCTCGTGCTTGCCTTTTCAATCGAGTCGAAGTTACATGGGATCGTCTGTGAAATTCTCGCGCGCGCTGGGAGATACACCCAATCTGACTCACATCCAGCTCCTGACAGGTCCTGCTGACTGGACCCGCATCCAGTGCAGGGTCCGAATGTGAAGGGAACCGATTCTGCAACATATCCGCCTGCTAAAGTAAAAATCGTTACAGCTTTTTGAACACATTTCAAATTTTAAAGTTTACGTGCGCTTATAATAAAACAAGTTTTTTCAAGGGGTGCGCTTATAATCGAGGAGGGGATATAAGCGCCATATGCCAATTAGAAGCGCCAGGCGCTTATCCTAGGGTGGCGCTTATATCCGGGGGGAGACGGTACATGAAACTCTATTGATCTGCCTGAGACTCCCTCTTCTGCTTGTACACGTGAATGGGAGTGGGATCTCTACCGATGTCCTTGCTGCCAGCATTCAGGTACGGCCCTCGCTGCACTGCCTGTGGGCTCAGCGCCCCCTCCCTCTCCACCAGGGGCTGCGAGTGGAAGCGGCTGGGAAGAGAAGGGGACGGGAGGGCAGGGGAGGAGAGGGAGGCGAGGGAGATGAGAGGGGAGGGGGAGATGGTGCTCGGATTCGTGTGGATAAACCAGACTCTCCATGCGCTGCCTGAGGGCTCAGCACCCCCTCCCTCTCCACCAGCAATTCCGAGTAGAAGGGGTTGGGGAGAGAAGGGGAGGGGAGGGGAAGGGCGGGGAGGGCAAGAGAGGAGAGGAGAGGGAGGAGAGGAGAGAGAGCGGAGGGGGGAGCGGGAAGGGGAGGGATTGGAGGGGAGGAGTGGAAAAAAAGGGAAGAATATGGTATGTGACAGTAGGCCCTCTCCACCAGGGCAGGGAATACGAGTGGAAGAGGCTGGGAAGAAAGCGAGGGGGAAGGGAAGGAGAGGGCAGTGGAGAGGAAACAATGCTTGGATTCGCCAAGGGAAACGAGACTCTCTGTATCCTGCCTGCGGGTTCAAATGCCCCCCTCCCTCTCCAGCAGCAGCGCGAGTGAAAGCGGATGAGGACCCAAGAAGGCAAGAGAGGGAGAGAGGGGAGTAAGGCGGAGGAAAAGGAAGAAAGTCCAAGACGTGCGGCAGGCGGAAGGCAGAGGAAAGGGGAGATAGGAGAGGAATGGGGACATGAGACTCAGCCAGCCTGAGGAAGAGAGTCTAAGGATGAGGCGGGACACAAAGGGATGCGCGTGGACGCAATCAAATTCAGGGAGCTCTTACTGCGAATATGCAGGCAGGCCTCTACTTAGAATCCTGAAAGGAGCGGTGGCGAGGAAATGAATGGGATGCGACTGGACGCAGGCAGGACAGGGAGGGAGAAAGTGCGGAGGAGGGTGGGTAGGCGAGGCGTGACACGAGCAGGGGAAGGGACAGGCGAGGATGAGGGGGGAGGCAGTACCGCAGCAGCAGCGGCAGCGAGAGCGTTCCGAGGGTGAACACGCCCAGAGCGGCCGCCACCACGAGATTGCGCTGCCGGCGGGCCGCCGCGCCCGCCATTCGCGAACAAAGATCCGCTACAACGAGAATCGCGAACCAATCGCTGCTCGGCTGTGAAGGGGATTCTGTGGTGTGATTTCAGCCAGCCGCTTCCAGCATTTGTGTACAGCCCCTCGCCTCGCAACAGTCTGGTGTTCGAGTTGGTTTTGCGATGTCAAGCCCTCCTCTGCCTCAACAGCTGGTTTACCAAAAGCCACGCTGACTCACACGATCCCGTTCGCCACCCTGCCCGATCGTCCGCTTAGGCTCGTTGCTTAGACTCGTCGCTTAGGCTCGTTGCTTAGACTCGTCGCTTAGACTCCTTGCTTAGGCTCGTCGCTTAGGCTCGTTGCTTAGACTAGTCGCTTAGACTCGTTGCTTAGGCTCGTCGCTTGGGCTCGTTGCTTAGACTCGTCGCTTAGACTCCTTGCTTAGGTTCGTCGCTTAGGCTCGTTGCTTAGACTAGTCGCTAAGACTCGTTGCTTAGGCTCGTCGCTTAGGCTCGTTGCTTAGACTCGTCGCTTAGACTCCTCGTTGCTTAGGCTCGTCGCTTAGCTTGATAACCTTATCGCATCGCTAGAAAACTGTTCCTCAGCTCCTCCTGCATCCGCGGGTCGTTGCGATTGGCGATTATGGACAAGACCGCGACGTTAGATAAGTCTGACGGCGTCGTGCAAAAACGCGGAAAGAAAAATCGAAAGTGGACGGAGATCCGGTGGAGGTAACCTTCGGAGAACAGCGGAAGGAGCGGCGGAAGAAGCGGCGAGGCTGTTGGTTTCGTTTTTTAGGGCGCGTCCCTCCCTCCATCGATCCTGCCCCCGATCGATTGGGGGACAGCTACAGTGTGATTGTTGTTATGAGTTGTGAAAGGAAGAGTGCGCAGAACTCAATAATGCGGAAGTGATTACAACGTCTGAGAACACAACGAGGCCTAGGACTAATATAGCGAAGCTAGCTAGGCCGAGGTCGCGGGGTCGCGAGATGGTTGGGTGCAGGTTCGGGGTTGGGAAACCCGAAGGCAACGCGGTAGTGGCTCGGAAGGCAAGTGTTGTAGAGGACTCTCCTCTACTTTGCAGGAACTGGGAATCGTTCTAAGCAGTAGAGCACTCTGCTAGCTTTCCAACGAGCCGTAGATCACCTCGTTCGCCTAAGTATCGAGCGAGATATCGTCGTTTATGTGCTAGGTAGTGCTCTTAGATTGAGGGATAGGAGCTCTCTGGAATTTGTGCTCGAATGTACCTTGTACAAAGAACTCTGAGTTTCACTATTAAACATGCATACAAGGCAAGTCGATTTATAGCAAATGCATTACATCGAACCGCACATGTAACATCGCATCGCTACACTCGCGTCGCGAATGCGCCGCGTGTAACATTTCGGTTGGGGTGAAATTCGGTCACCGAATTTCACACCGAACACACCGAATTCGCCTTGCACTTGAAGGTTGGAATATGGTGCCGCCACGTGGCACCGAATTGTGAGTCTTCCGAAGTCAATCGGTGCAACCCCACCGATCCCTAGTCAAAGGGATCGAAGGCACCGAAGTGCCCTCGGTGGGTTGGGGGCATACAACCGCCCCACCACCGAACTCCCTCCAACACTCCCCCTTGCACCCAACCCACTAGGTGCGCAAGCCAACATGCTCATAGCATGCACGGGGTGAACCTTTAGGGAGTGGTTCCGTGAGGGAATCCGCGTGTTCATTATCACCCTTGGTCGCGAAGCAATATGCCACGCCCTCCTTATCCGTCTCCCCAACGGCTACCGTAGCATAGTCGGCGTACTTGGAGGGAGGACGAACCTCACGACGCTCGCGAGTCAAGGCCAATGGTAGGGAGGAAGGTGTGGAGGTAGTTGCCGCCTCGGTTGGTGACACCTCCTCGACATCATCAACGCTCTCCTCGTTGTTCCCTCCCCCTCCTTCTTCGGCTTCCTTCTCCACTTGAGATGGAACCTTACTCTCTTCAACCTCCTCTCGTGGCGGAAGGATGAAGGTGAGTTGTTGAGTGGGGTTTTCCTTTGACGGGAACTTGTCTTCATCGAAGACCACGTCCCGAGACGTGACAACGCGCTTTTCACCCAAGTCCCACACTCGCCATGCACGCTCGTTTGGCGCCACTCCCAAGAAGATCGCCGCACGAGCTTTCGGTTGCAACTTGTGGCGAAGTGGATCCGGTACATGGTAGTAGCAAAGGCACCCAAAGGTGCGTAGGCGGTATAGGTTCGGCTTCGTTCCGGTCCATGCTTCGAACGGAGTCGTTCCCGGTAGCACCTTTGTTGGCACACGATTACGAATCCATGCCGCTAGCGCACTCGCCTCTCCCCACCACTCTTTCCCAAGCTTGGAGTGTTGAAGAAGTGAACGGACGGCCTCCACCAATGTGCGGTTGAGTCGCTCCGCCGCTCCGTTTTGTTGGGGTGTGTAGGGTGTCGTAACGTCGTGCTTAATGCCCTTGCTTTTCATCCGTTTTTCAAGCTCGTTGTTCACGAATTCGCCGCCACCATCGGTGCGAATGCACTTGATTTGCTTCTTGCCGTTGTCGCAAACGTCGAGCGCCCACTCTTGAATCGCCTTGGCCGCATCTCCTTTAGCCTTCAAGAGCCGGGTCCAACACATCCGCGTTGCGTCGTCGAGCATCACTAAGAGGAACCGCGCTCCTCCCTTTGATGCATGCCGCATCGGTCCACACACGTCCATGTGAACAAGCGCAAGCGGGTCCTTAGCGAGGGGTGAGGTACGGCTACCAAATGGCTTGCGAGCCATTTTTCCTTCGACACACGCCGCGCACACGCCCTTCTCGTCGTTGCCGGCGATCAC